TCTACGATTTCACTTTATAACAACTATAAACTTAATAAGTTGGGAAACATTTTGTGAACCGACAAATGTTGTAATTTATAGATCATGCCTGTAAAAACGGTGTGTACCTGCATATGCAGAAATATATTATTATTATCATTATTATAATGTTAGGCAAAACTTGGATGGTAGATTCGGTCATTCTAAAAATCTATAAACGAGATAACCACAAAGAAACCAAAGTAAATGAACATGATGTAACTGAATACCATGAACGATGAAAGTAGCGTTGTGTGTAGAGGAAACCGAATAAATGAACGTATGGGGTTTAGCACGTAAATATACAACAAAGATCTCACTACAGCTATGGTTCAAACATGTGCTCAGAGCTTATTTTTGCTCACTTCTGATCACAAACAGAATTTAGCCACTTCGTGACTGATTGTATGAGTCGTGTGACTGTTATATAGCAGAGCTTGTTTGTGTACTTATAAACGTGATGAGCGCAAATTACCTGATAGGTTTTGGAAGATCCTGTGTAAACAAGCCCAGAGTATCTGAACACGAAATTACTGCATAAACACGTCCTGCATTAGATAAATTGTGTACATCTTATTATTACCTCTAAACTTTGAATTTCGGAAGAACCAAAGAGAAGAATCCACAGCTTTAGAACAATATTTCGTTATCCCCACCTGAACATCTAAAATCCAAGCTTAATCGCTGATAGGAATAGTCCAATCAAGCACCCTTACCTGATCACATATCATCACAACGTTACTCGCAGCCTTCTCGAGGCAGGGTTGTCGTCTAAGAAGGTTAGAGGTTAAATTTTCCGGCGCTTAAACTGGATTGGTGGTTGCGGACAATTCAATTGGGGTAGCAAGGAAACCGTATCTGTTGACGTTACTCCACTGCGTATAGATTATACATCTTCATTAAAGCTCTTATGAGAGATACAGTTGAAATGTATAGCAGTCGAAAGTACTTTATCGATTCCATTAACGATAACTTTTCTCCTTTTAATCAATTATTTCCAAAGAATGCTAGAAGTAATTAGGTGTATATTACGTGCGACCAAAGAAATTAATTCGTTGTTAAAAACAAAGATCAATGGACGTTGATACTTCTGTGCGTGCAAACCCTGCAAAGATGTCTACATATTTGCAATGCTTAGCATGACTACGTAGATAAATATTGCGCATTTTATTCAGAACGCCTCTTTAAAATTGTTGACTGATAAACCTATCCATTCAGCGACGGTCATTTATTAGTCAGTTTGACCGGTTACTTACCATATACATAATTGTAAGACGATTTTGACATCCGAAATCACTAAATGACTTCCCTAACTATTTCCAGGAATCCAATATACTAATGAATAATGTTAAATATAGATGATGTATCATAAACAGCACTTGTGAGATGCTCTCTGACGTCAGAAAAACATTAAATAGATTGCTTGCTAAAGCAAAGCTGATAAACAACCTCATGAAAAAGCTTTTAGTGACATTTCCACCACTTCTTGTGGAGGCTTACGAATTTCTAGTCTATAGTAGTCTACAAATGTATATCGTATTACTAGACTTCGTCATACTCCACCAGTAAGGTGCGTAAATGTAAAGTAGACTTGCATTCTCAAGGCTTTAAAAAGTATTTTACGAGATCAGTAATAGTCGCAATACACGTAAACTCAACCTACCGCCATAAAACTGCTGGTTTACGCTTCGTTCATACAGTAGCTTGCTTAAATTCCATGGTACTTATCGTACCTTAAACTGCAGGTTTCACCAGAGCCTCATATAATCAAATAGTATCATATGGTGATCCTAATTAGGTCGAGTAGGTTTAGAAACGATGCCTAGTATATACAAAGCTGCTCGTCTTAGGGAGTGCTATAAATATTTACTTAATCACTTTAGAAGAATACGAACACTGAAATGCGTAATCAATGGCTACTTGGTGTGACAGACTGTCGACTAAAATTCCCTTCAATTTCATTCATAACCATCTAAAATCACTTAATTTGTAGAGATGATTGGATTGCGAATTCTTAAGAAGACCAGCAAAGCACGTATCAGTCGATCATACTCTTTGTTTAAGAGCTGAGAAGCTGGCCCATTATGCTAAATTTTTTGTAATGTTTAACTCAACGCAAGTGCTATATGGTAATAATAGATAAATATTATTTGTTTTCACTGTCCCCCATAGCTACAAGCAAACCACAATCATCAGGAACCGCACTCTTCGCCTGCTAAGCCGCAAAAGGCACTAATAGGCAGAGTACAAACGAAGTGACAACAACGGGGCGTACAGGCAATACAAACATATAAGGAACATATGCACGAAGGCTATAAGAGAAGATAGGCTTCAGTACCAGACAAATCTTATGGAAAAATTTGCCTCTAATCCGAAAAGCTCATTCCGTTATGTAGCCTCTCTTCAACAAGCCAAAACTGGAGTTTCCAACTGCTAGGTCTTAATGGCCCGACCAACAACAATGGCAACGCCGCTTACCTTCTGGCTGAACATTACTCTCAGACATTTCAACCGACTGACATCAATTTTACTGATGATGGTTTCATCTGCAATTCCACAGGACTTTCCGAAGTGAACCTAAGCGCTGACTTCGTGTTCCAGAAACTACAGCACTTAAGAATAGGCACTTCTCCTGGCCCAGATATGGTCCATTCTGAGGGAAGCAGCCTCAATCCTGACAACGCCGCTGTGTGATGTTCTCACACTCGCTAATTGGAAGAAAACTGCCGGAAAATTGGAAGCTGACTCACATCACACCAATTTTCAAAGGAGGTCGACGCAGCGAACCTTCAAGTTACCGACCGGTGGCTCTTCTCTCTATACCTTCAAAAATCATGGAGTCCCTGATATGCGATGGTATAAATGACTATTTACTGTCCTTAAATTTCTTCTCACTCCAACAGCATGGTTTGAGGAAGGGTTACTCTTGTATAACCAACCTGCTGACTGCGGTGGACAGATGGACAAGCATCCTCTATCACAAGTGGAAGGCTGATATCATCTACCTAGAAGTCCCAAAAGCTTTTGATAAGGTTAACCATATATGACTTATCAATAAGCCCAAACGATTGGGTATCAGATCACCTCTAATCGATTGGCTCGCTTCATATCTGAAAAATCGACAATTTAAGGTCAGGGTTAACTTAACTTTACCTCAGGTCATGTGATGTCCTATTGGGGTCCCCCACAACTCAGTACTAGGACCTCTTCTCTTCTTGATCCTTATAAATGATCTTCCTCAACAGGTAACGTCAGACTCGTTACTTTTTGCCGACGACGTGAAACTTTGGAGAGAGATACGCAACCAAGACGATATACAGGCAGTTCAGGAGGATCTGACGCGACTTCAAAGTTGGGCAGACGATAACGGACTTACCTTTAACACTTCAAAGTGCAAAGTAGTCCATCTGCGACATGTCGCAGACTACAGTTATAACTTAGGTAACTCCTTTTTAGTAGTATCCCAAGTCGAAAAAGATTTAGGAGTCCTGGTGCCCTACGATTTAAAGTCTTATGCTAACTGTGACAAAAATGCCTTCCGAGCAAACCTTGCACTGGTAACATTGAAGCACATTTTTGGCCAGTTTGAAGGAAGAACTTTCCATATAATCTTCAATGGTTTTATCCGTCACCACTTAGAGTACCGAAACATAGTATTTCCTCCCTCACTCCAGAAGGACAAGGACATTCTGGAGCGTATCCAACGGCGAGCCATGAAATCAGTTCGAGGACTCAAATTTAAATTTTATGAAGGGCGCCTCCAATCACTTAAACTTAAACCGTTAGAACATAGACGTCTTAGAGGTGACCTTCTGGTAGCTTTCAGTACCCTTAACACTTCTGGACATCCTCTCAAACACCTACTTAAGCTTAGTTCGAACACTAACCCAGAAACTGGAGACACAACATATCAGAACGGACTTTAGACACAACTACTCCTTAAGAGTAATCAAATGCTGGAATTCGTTGCCGGCCAAGCTAGTCCAAGCAACTTTCTCAGGAGTCCTTTAAAAGCAACATGATCTATTCTTAAGGATTAAGGATAGTATAATACTATACCAATTTCTTTTTCCTATTTCATTGTTAACATACCTAGGTTCGTGCCTGGAAGTCTGGTGATCCCTTGCTACTAGACACGGAAGTCTGTTAAACGAAGGCTTCTTCTATTCCGTCCACAACCATTTGAACCCATTAACCTTTGGCACTAATTTTAAAAAATACCCTTACGCATAAGTACGAACTCAGTAACTAACTTTGTCTTCGGCTTTGCTTGTCGTTATGCCTTTTTCTGTATCTTAGACTGTATTAAACTACTTACATTCACACGTTTTCGTATTGTATCTATTGATTTGTTAGTAAACGTTGTGTTTGTATTTACTTTGATCTAATAGACCATACCACATTTCTAAATCTCTGCTTACAAAAGTCAACACATTCCTGTCCATTCTTTTCATCCCGACCCATCTTTCAAGGCAATAGGAACTAATCAGTGGCAGATGGATACATGTAAGTCATAGATTTAACAATTTTCTCATTCGATCGTTGGTTATTATTAATTCAACTAAACTTGTCTTCATGACTTTTTGACAATCAATTGACACCATCTGACAGTCGTTAGAACGTCTGTCATGTTTCTTAATCACAGCCGACTAGAGTTCATAGTAAGCTATAACAAATAAAACAGCGAGACTATAATTTGTGGACTAATCAATCAGGTATAGGATAATAGATCTCGGATTTTAACGCGAAAGCCTTTCATCCATTTGTCTCAATAAATTTCTAGCGTTATAGCTGATGTCAGTTCGTGATGAAAACCCTATATATAATTCCTAAGGCACATTACGAACTAGATAATAAAAGCACCAGTAACACTGGCTGCAGCCAGGCACTACAATATATACAGATGTTTGGAGAGAATACAGACTCCTATATAGGCTTGGTTATGTACATCGTATCGTTATCCACAAGTAGCATTTTGTACACTCAACAAACGTAGTGCACACAAACAATTTTGAAGCTATGTGGTCGAGGCTGAAAGAGTTTTTGAGACTTTATCATGGCTCCAGAGGCCGACTCTTCTGTAGTCATATGGATGATTTCCTCTACTGCATGCATTAAGACTAGAGCCTCTGAACCTCTTTCTAACCTTGAAAAGTTTTTGAACCACGTATAATAAGTGTATCCACTCTATTTCTTTAGTTTTGTATAACATATGTTTACTCTATGCTGACTGTTTGTTGATTGCCTAATATTTCTCAAGGTCACTTAAGATTCGTTCGAAAGTAATCCATAAATTAGGGTCTCGCCCATATCACTTTGGATCGTAGTTTGTTCGGGTTGGAATAACTGAAATTACAAAATAGGCTCCAGTTTCAGTTTGGAAAAGAACAGAGGCTCTTTGGCCTATGTTAGTCCTGACAATGATGGTCTCTCAGTTGGTCCTTTTGTAGATTCGACAGATGGAGCTTCAATCACGTGTTAGGGTACTGGATTTCACTCGTTGATGATTCGATGGGGAGGTCAGTAGTCAGTTGACAAGTAATTTGTTCTGGGCTTGTGAGCTTTTTTTGGAGTGTCCTCGCAGATTTTGTTTTGGAAGACAATAAGAAGGGCAGATCAGATGCAAATTCATCACTAAGTAATTGTAATCTGTAATCAAGTTACCGCTAGTTCCTTAATATGTCAACGGGAGTAGGCTTGGTTTAGCCAGTTGGGCATCATACGGAAGCTTCACTATTCCGGGAATCAGCTTAGTTACTGTCTTCCAAACCCTTTCCAAAGGCTCACTGTGGTTTGTAAAGCCAAGAATGACCTGAGTCCCCTTGAAGTACAACTTTCCTAAATGTTTAATCAATTCCTAAAACCCTTCCACTTAAAGGGTATCTACATCTTAGCTTGATTTTTTGAAGAGATGACTAGACAGCTATGGGAGGTTGCTAAAAATAGAATGATACAAACCCATGGCCTTCTGTCCTATACAACGATTCGTCACCAACTCGACAGTGGATCATATTATCTTATAAACATCATTTAAGTGTTCTTGTCCAGCTTTCACTATAATCTCTTTGTGTTCAGGTTAATATCATTCACGCGATAAACTGCAAATCAAGGGTCACACTTAAATTATCAGTGATCACCAACATTATAATAGGCGAAAGTGCTTTCAAATGTGGTAGCTTTCGTGACTACTCTATTTTGGTTGCTTAGTCTAAACATTGTTCACCAGTAAAACTAATGAAATTTTTCCACTTAAAGTTCAAAGTTAATCATTTTAGTTCTGTGAATTAACATTATCGGTATTATCGAAATGTTTCATTGTGTCTGTTGTGTAATTATCTTAGTATTAAATTATATTTGTGTAAGGTGTGACTTTACTTGCTGCATTATGCAACGTGGTAGTTTAATTATTCCACTCTCAGCCAGCAGATTATAAATTTAAGTTTTGCACCATTGACTTGGTATTTCATCCTTTGTTGGGGTCCGCATGACTATCATAACCAATGGTTGGAGACTCTAGGTGATATGGCTCAGAATCGATCACAATGGCGTAGGTGTATACTCTTTGTCTTCTCTTAGACCGTGAGATTAAAATTACTTTGTACCTTTCTTTCTACGAACTAATTCTTTCCTCCTGTTAATTAATTAATTTGAACACAAGTATTGGTACAAAGGGGCACTGAATACATATGCACCACATAGGTCACTTGATTTGTGTGTGGGCTGGGATACTACCCGAGTGCCCAAACCGAAACAGGTGGTTTTCCCAAGTAGTTACACCCTGGAGCCTTCGACCTAAAGGTTTGATCCACCAAGCAGTGGAGCAACGTCGGGAGACGCACTCCCATGGTAGCCGGTGACCAGTAATTCGTTCATACGCCATTTGTTTCTTCAGGATCTTGAAGCCCACGTGCACCATTGGTTTGAGATCAGGGTTTTACAACTCCCCTAGATGGATCCTCCGTGTCCACCAACCCGGTTAGAGTGCAGGACGTTCGCTTTTCGTCTTCTCAATTTCGTAAGCAACACCCCAACCATGAGCAGGCAGTGAGCAGGACTTCCCTGGCAATGGCTGTATACGCGTGGCCATGTAAGAGCATTTCAAGAGGGAGAACTGTCTCTCCTCACCCTCTGCCGTGTCAGGGCATTCGTATTATATCCTTATACCTAATCTTTCTTTTATATATTACTACCATTGAAGTAACTACTATGAAGTTGTTCATCTTGTACTAACGAGGTGTGACAACTTGGACCGATGCATATATATACCTGACTGACTGACTCATCCTCGTGTGCCAATAATTCAGAACCTAGCATACAATTATTTTGGTTAGTTATGAAATGACTTTGTTCCCCTGTGGTCCATACCTCCTTGATGACCGTTATTGCTACCTTGACGTGGTGGTCGGGCTTGCCTATCGTGATGTAGCAACCGAGCTATACTGGCTGGAACAACTGTTCCTCAAGGTCCTACCATGTCAGACAGGTCGGTTGAAGAGCGGTAAGACTAAAAACCTCCGTCTTCACTTCCTATTACTCCTCCTACATCGACTTTCACCTCTAAACTTCCTTTTTCGGCTTCTTCATCAAATGTCACCATAGCCAACGATTCTAGTGCTCAAAACACTGTCCCAGGTCTACTGAAACCTCGCTCCAAACTACACATTGGAGCCTTCAACGTACGCACCCTATGTCAAATCGGTCAACAGGCTTCCTTGGCTAGAACCCTAGAATCTCGTACCATTGATGTATGCTGTGTCTCTGAAACACGCATACAGGATCCCAGTGTGGTCATTCACTTGACCTCACCTCGGCAAACGGAGAGCCAACGAGATACACCTCCCATGTATCTGGTGACCCGATGGCCAGCTCTCGTGGACTGGCAGGAGTAGGCATAGCACTAAGCATGAGGGCGGAACAAGCACTGTCAGAGTGGATCCCCGTTAACAGTCGTTTATGTGCTGTTCGGCTAAACGGCTCCGTAAGAACTCGGAAGGATAGGGACACACGTCGTTGCCTTTTTGTCGTTTCTGCCTACGCTCCCACCGACTGCAGCTCAGATGAAATGAAAGATGAATTTTACAGAAAGCTAAACGTTCAGACATAGTACTCGTAGCAGGTGACTTTAATGCCCAGATAGGTAGTTTAAACCAAACAGAAAGGCATTTAGGTGGGTATTTTAGTATTCCGGCACAACGAACAGATAATGGTGATCGTCTGCTGCAACTGTGCTCAGACAATCGTTTATTTTTAGCAAACACAAATTTTAAGCATAAGGAGAGACATCGTCTAACATGGCGACCCCCTACACCAAACCAACGATGGACTCAAATAGACCATATTGCCATCAGTCATCGTTGGAGAGGGTCGGTAGAAGATTGTCGCTCATTCTGGAGTACCTGCTTGGACTCCGACCATGCCCTAATACGGGCACGCATCTGCTTGCGCCTCACTGGACGCAAAAAAGCCACATTAAAAAGACCCATTAGAACTGAGTTGAGTAACGAGAAAACCAAAAGTAGGTTCCAGGAACAACTGAGGTCACACTTAGGTAGTTCTGAAAACGAGGCTGACCCAGATGTTGCTTGGAAAGCTATACAAACAGCAGTGACATCTATCAGTGATTTAAACCACAGGGTTACAAAGAACCAGTGGATTTCTTCAAGGTCTATTGCACTGATGGATTCTCGCAAACTCGTCCCATCAGGTTCTGAACATGATGAAGAGCGACAACAAATCAGATCTAGGTTAAGAAAAAGTCTAAGGAACGACCGTGAGCAGTGGTGGGCAACGAAAGCAAAAGAGATGGAAAAGGCGGCGACTATAGGGAACACAAGACAGCTTTACAGACTAATAAAAGAAACTGGAATTAATAAGTCAAGTGTAAGTGAGATTATTTCGGAAAAAGACGACACTCATCTGCTCCCAGTCCAGACGTTTAGAACGATGGGCGGAACATTTTAGAGAACAGTTCAGCTGGCCTTCAGCTACTCTACAACTACCCTCCATTCCCAGACAGTGTGAATGGAACATTGAAGTAGGTCCCCCAACTCTAGCTGAAGTTCAAAAGGCTATAGTTAATCTGAAACGAGGAAGGGCAGCTGGTCCAGATGGATTGGCTCCAGAGGTCTTTAAGGATGGTGGTCCAATTTTAGCGATTAGGTTGACTAATATTTTAGCTAAGATCTGGACGTTATTCCATCTGACTGGTCGCAATCACTTATCGTCCCAATATATAAGAAAGGGTCAAAATCATCCTGTGACAACCACAGAGGGATTAGTTTAACTAATATAGTATCTAAAATACTAGCCTCGATAATTATCAGACGCCTAACTAAGACTCGTGAACTGCAAACACGAGAGAACCAAGCTGGCTTCAGACCTGGTCGTGGCTGCATCGACCACATATTCACCATTCGTCAGGTTCTAGAACACAGGCATACTTATCGGCGTCCGACATGGTGGTCTTTCTTGACTTAAAAGCAGCATTTGACTCTGTAGACCGCGAGATTCTGTGGCAGTGTCTGTCATTGAAAGGCGTACCTCAGAAGTACATAAACCTTGTGAAGGCTCTTTACTCGAACACTACTAGTCGAGTCAGAGCTTATGGCGAACTGTCATCTACTTTTGCAACCTCAAGTGGTGTCCGTCAAGGCTGTCCACTTTCTCCATTTTTGTTTAACTTCATCATAGACCTATTGATGGAAATAACATTCTCGTCGACTGAATTCTCGGGTATTGATCTCCTTCCAGGAGGTCCACTTATCGACTTAGAATACGCAGATGACATAGTCCTGTTTGGTGAAGACGCTGACAAAATGCAGAGTCTTTTGGTAGCACTAAGCAACAATGCCAGAATGTTTGGATGCGCTTCTCTCCCTCTAAATGCAAGTTGTTGCTTCAGGACTGGTCTGCGTCAACACCTGAACTAAGGATAGGGAGTGAAGTAGTCGAACGCGTTGACAACTTCACTTATCTTGGAAGTCTGATCAGCCCTAATGGGTTGGTGTCTGACGAAATCTCAGCACGGATTCGAAAAGCTCGTTTGGCTTTTGCCAACTTACGTCACCTTGGCGAAGGCGAGATATCCGTCTATCAATAAAAGGACGAGTATACTGCGCGGCAGTCCGTTCTGTTTTAATTTACGGCAGCGAAACATGGCCATTAAGAGTAGAAGACACTCGTAAGCTACTAGTATTTGACCACAGATGCCTTAGAAATATTGCTGGCGTCTGCTGGGATCACCGGGTAAGTAATAGTGAGGTTAGACGCAGGGTATTAGGGAATGATGGTAAATCAGTTGATGAGGTTATGAATCTTCATCGACTGAGATGGTTGGGCCACGTGTTACGTATGCCTGAACACCGATTACCACGACGTGCAATGCTAACCGGTGTAGGGATGGTTGGAAGAAAGTTAGGGGCGGCCAAACCAAAACGTGGCATCAGTGCTTGAAGTCACTAACTTCTAGTCTGAGCCATGTTGGTAGATGCAGACTACTTGGTTGGGGTCCGCGTGACTTCGTAACCAATGGTTGGAGACTCTTGGTGACATGGCTCAGAATCGATCACAATGGCGTCGGTGTATACACTCTCTGTCTTCCCTTAAACTAAGAGATTAAAATCACTTCATATCTTTCTTTCTACGAACTAATTCTTTCTTCCTGTACTATATCCTTATTGCAATCTTTCTTTTATATATTACCACCTCTGAATTAACTACTTTTATGAATCCGGTGTCATCTTGTTGTGTTAATGAGGTATGGCAACTTCGACCGATGCATATATGTGCCTGGTCCTACGTTGTAGCTGACTGACTGATGACTCATATTATTTCCGTTGCTGTTTATATATTATTACTGTATTCACCACTTTGTAACTTTTTTGAAATTTTCTTTTAATTTAGTTAAAGATATTATTTATTGGAGTGAGCCAATCAGGTCGGGTATTGTTTCCGCTGTTGGGTTGACATTTTTGTTAAGTTTATCTTGCATGTCATTCATTTCCGTCGTTGCTTACGCTGGGCTTGCCTTATTTTGCTGTACAGCAGCTTGCAAACTGTATAATGCCGTTCTTGGTTCAAATAAACAGGAAGCGTCAGACAATTCAAACCATTCATTTCAGTATGTTTAAGGTCTTTTCAGCTATAGACTAAGTCTAATATTTCAATGCATTTTTATTGTTATATATATATATATATATATATATATATATATATATATATATATATATATATATATATATATATATATATATATATCACCTAGTCACACTGGAAACTTTCGTAAAAAGGGAAATGTAAATAAAGCTCCATGATCGTATTCTATTATTTATGTACAATGTTATTGTTGGAGTCATACGAATTCTTCCATAAAGTCCCCAAAATCCCGAAGAAAACATCCCTATTGAGTAGCATTGAGTAGCAACCTTCCGAAAACACGTAAAAAGTGCCAAGGATTATGTGTCACAACTTGGCTAGATAGTCACCTATTATATTACTAAACTTAGTATATATCCACAAATTTTTAAAAGATCTGGGCCACTCGTAAATCTACAAACAAACTTATTTTTTATGCGTAAATTAACCTTGAGGTCTAGCATCTATTTTTACTTCTCACCTTCCGCTCTACTATTTAGAGCTCAAGTGTTAGACATTCCAGTAGCCACAGTTAAAAAACTGATTTATTCGAAACTGTCTAGGATTTCAAGTTGGTTAACATCAAACAGGGTTTATATGTTTCCTTTCAAAGGTAAAAGACGCGACTACTCATTAATACAACCATAGAAATTTTCATTGCATTTGCCAAGAAAATTTCTATTTCCCGAACCAAAACTTACGTTAAGTACTCTGATTATATACATTCATGATCATACAACATTCATATATTTTAGAGGATTTATCTGGGGCGCTTTAATCCTCAAGCTCTCATTGCATCGGTTAAAATATTAATATAGTTCTGTTTCGATCATTCATGGTTTATGTTTACTTTGATTGTTTCATTCATTATTTGCAACTTTTATAAATAACACAACTCTACTCTAACAATTTCCTTCTTTGACATATCTCTTTTAAGTTCATGGCTTGAATATAATATTTTGTTATCTGAAGATAAAATTGCCAAACGTGTTGGAGCTGCATCTGAACAGTTATCTGAAAAATTAAATCAGTTACGTCGTATGTTATTGATGCAAGATTATTTTGAAACTGTCAAGGTAAATTTGCGTTTTACTCTTTTTCTTCAGGATGCCAACGCATCACAGAAGTTAACCTTTTTTCTAGTGGTTCGAATTGTGTTATATCCTCAAATCTTTTCCACTATTATTATTATTATTATTATTATTATTATTATTATTATTATTATTATTCATTTCAATATTAAAACTTTTGGTTTTATTTGCACCGTTAGTTCCTGCTAATTTTCTAAGGAACATTCATAGATTGAGCATGAACTGGGAGCACAATTGGTCATACGGTCTCATTAATGATATTTTGAAACCTACATATTCCAACTGCTATATTATTCTTGTCGATAGGAATTTCAGTAACTGTACAATGTTATTTATAAAGACACGTTTTACCCATCCCATTGTATGAAGTTTGATTCATTTGGATTGAAGGAATACTGTATCGATTCCCTAAACCATGACACAGCAGTTGTTGTCCGGTTCGTTTCTATTACCTTTAATGGAGCAGCTAGTGTATTTTTTACGTCGGATTTTACTCAAATACCATCATTTATAAATGTGACCTTCATAACGTTCAGTACTTTGATAATTTAAGTATAAAAATAGCACTTCTAAGTTGTGATCGTCAAATAACACTTCACGCCTACGAGAAGTTTTATATCTGAGTCTTTATTGCTACGTGACTTCCTTAGTTATTGGTTGAATAGAGAAGGTAGATATTCCTTGCGAAGCCCGTCTTTAAACAATGACATTATTATTGAGCTGGCATTCGTATCTTCTGTTTTAGTGATAAGAAGATTATGATTAGTAATATGCTCTAAAGTGTGTGAAATAATCAATGTAAGTGCTGAAAGATCTTGGTGGCAATTTTTTCTCAACGTTTTTGTTCAAGTATTTTATACCAGATTTCTACCATATTAGCATAACTTTTTCAATTCCAACAGTTATTATATCGCTTTTATACGTATTTGATATTTTCTAGCTTGCGATTGGCTTATACATACTATCAATTATAGGTGGATGGTTTAATTTACTTACATTGATAATTATACGTGAGTTTTGTGTTGTAATGGCATATTATTTTTATATAAATTAGTCTATTTGATGGTTATAATTACTGAGCAAAACATGGAACTATTAGAATTAAATAATTGTTAGGCGGCTGCATATGGGGCTCTTACTGCCTCATGACAATGAAATATCATGACCTAGCGGACTACTCTCTTTTCATGGCAGACAACTAACTTCCTAGTATAACTGTCATAACGTATATCACGCAAATCGTGAAAGGTTCATTGATCGTTATGGAATGTATTCAAGACCAAAAGGTCTACGACATCAGACAGGGTTGTGACATGTTCTAAAACAAAGTTAGCATTCTAAATCTTGAAAGGCATAGTGCACATAGTACTTCTAAGTGGTTAGGGTTTGATTATTTTTATTTCATAGAGGATCGAAACCTGACCTATATCCGTTGTTTTAAATTTATTGGATATTTAATAAACGTCGGACATTGTTTCATTGCATCTAATTTGTATTTGTGTTTATTTTGCTTTGTGAATAGTGGCGATTTGGTGGTTAACACATGGCTTTCAATTGTGAAGTTGCACATTTTAGACCCTTTTTTACCACTTTCGGTTTCGATAGCTGAATAGTATCATTAGCCTTCACACTGGCAATGTCTCTCGAAATCAACTATTAAAACTTGTATCAAGTAAATGAGCAACGTTAATTTTCCATTCTGTAATATACTGTTGGATACAGCTTAGTGTTTTGTCCTGTCTAATCGACGGAAAAAACGTCTAAACGTATATAACCAGTCTTCCATTTATTTTAATTGAAGACAGACCTTCACTGAAATAAGTTAGCAGATCTAGCCTTTTGAGTAGTTATCAAGTGTTCATACTGTATCATTCCTCACTATCAACCAAACAGGGTTGTTTCCATTACTCCCATCCTCGAGTCGTATTCTTGACTATCAAAAGTTTGGTCACACTATTGTGAATCTCATTAAAAAATGAGCTAAATTTTTTTAAATTAAGAGGTGTATTGTACTTTTCTGAATTTGCTGTAGTGTATCAAGTTTTCAATTCACGAAGTTTAACTAATTAGAATAAAAGACTATTTTTAATACTTGAGATTGTTGATATTTTGCGTACCTACCCACTTTCATGACAAAAGTAAACAACATGGGACCAGCCAGGACTATTTGTACAGCAAAAGGAAATTAATGAAATAAAAGCAAAGTTTGGCGACTAATATTACTAACAGTAATAGAAAACCTTAAAGAGAGAAAAACTGATATAATTAACTAGTTCGATCTCTAATATTATTAAAAAGAAAACCAACTATATCTATGTCACCAACCCAAGCACTTCGTTTTGCGGTTCATAACCCTCCACGCTGATATAGATGCTTTTTTCCCTTTATTTTTCTTTAAAACGTGAACATTTTTTAACCCCTATAAATATTGAATGTCTGATAATTTACTGTCCGTTTTCACGTACATTAGGCAGTGATTTTTCTTACACCTTTTAGTATTCGTTTTGGGATTGACGTGCCCCAGAATTTACTTATTATACCAGGTTAGTGATATTTGTATTTCCACCTAAAGTATAGTAATCAAAATATTATTTGCAATATTAGTTTTTATTTTCTTCTGGGATTCATTGTCTTAAGTCAGTATCCGAAGCTTCTATAGTACTGTCCCCAAAGCAAATGACGTGTGTAAAAATGGTGACAGCTATCACAATTTTTATGATTTATTGTGTTACAATTTTGCGCGTTATTTTAAATTAAAGCCTGTATATATATATGCACTGTTCTTAAACAGTCCGTTTGTTTTGTATGTCAATTTCTTTCTAAGTATGACCATTTGGTTAATTATTACTAAGTAATAAATGGATCTGATTGTATTCTTTATACTTTAAATATATCTTCCATTTTTTGAACGAAATATAAAATTTTTAAAAGTGTTTATAAACTTTTGACTCATTTAATACCTTTATTTCTAGCTGTGTTTTTACACTTTACATGTATGAGTACGTTAAATGTTTAGGAATATAATCATGTTATCCATATTTCCAAACCTTTTCGAATGCATTTATTGTGCTTTAACGATAACAGGTGTGTAAACGAATTCCTGACTATAGGGACTACAAGCCACCTCTTTTGTAGAGGAACAAAACTGGTAACCATGTACAAATTTCTTTGCATAAACCAGTAAATTTATCAAAATGTAATAAGATTTTCATTTGTAATCGACTAATCGGTGATCAAATACACTAACGTGTTTTTGCAAATCACAACCAGTCAAAACTTTATATGGTTTGGGATTTTCTCCTCGAGTATGTACAATCTAATAACAATAAATTACGAAATTTGTTAAATTAATGGTAGTATACTTAGAATATGATTTGATAACTGGAAAGGAGGCTTGACTACTAGCCTATCGAGTTATATTCTCGTCTAGAGTGCATAGACAAAGTTAGATAAATATATTTCACTAAATGACTACGATCTTGTCTTAATGATTACAAACAGAATAAATAATCATTGATTAGTTCTACTAGTATTTTAAAGCACTATCTTTTAAAGTGTTAGTGTTACCACAATAAATGTCTTACTGCATACAGTTATAACCTTTGTTATCTTAATGTTCTCTGGGATCTGTTCTTTAGAATAACCTCATAGTTGTTAAATCTAGTCATTGAAAATATTCAAGATGAATACAAAGATTACCCATCGCACTGTTAATGTGTTTAATTAGTTGTTTATGTGAAATTAAATTTACGAGTAAGTAATGTTAAAATTAAGTATTCCTTTCACCAATTCCTAGTCACAACTATCTCCATCTTACAATTTTAATCAAAGTAACGCTGTGGTTGAGAAAACGTCTTTTCCTAATTCACGAATTCATTGTTTACTAGTCTAAACCCTATGTGAAACTGTAGATTTGTGAACGTGGGCGTCAGTTCTAGTGGCTTATTCACATCATATCTTGATTTAAGTTTTTTTGTATTCAGCAGTTTAAAAATCCCCATAGAATATTCAAAAACGAAGAATATTTTAGCGAACAATTGTTTTCAATAACTTCATCATCAGGCTCTACAATTATAAGTTCATAATTATAATATTTTACAAAGGCCGAAAATGAGACATGTATTAATGAATTTGACAATGGTATGTGTTAAAAATGGTAAACGTTTGCATCTGTTACGATATATATATACTTCAAAATTGTATTATTTGCAAATTAGAAAGGTCATTCAATAAGGGTCAGGATGATTTGGTGTAGTGTTTAGTCACAATAAGTATAATAGTATTATAGCAGAGATGAAAATGCAGAAAAAATTGTGAATAAAATGCATAGTATGAGAATTTAATCTTGTCGATTGAGATAATAATAATACGATTGTTGTGTGAATATAATATATAATAATATATCCAGCTTCTCTTGTTTACCTTGGCCTACGACTGGATCACCAAATACCTGGACTAAATATTATAAACCTCTTACCCCCTTCCTTTATTTTTATTAATTTTTTTCCTTATTATCATTATTTTTGATTATCTCTATCTTAATCTTCACATCGATCATTCCCAATTCGTTTATCGTAATTACCTTGATAACACCCTCCTTATTACATATTATATTCACAAAACAATCTTATTATTAAATGACCTTTCTAATTTGCAAATAATACAATTTTGAAGTATATATATATATATATATATATATATATATATATATATATATATATATATATATATATATATATATATCGTAACAGATGCAAACGTTTACCATTTTTAACACATACCATTGTCAAATTCATTAATACATGCCTCATTTTCGGCCTTTTAAAATACTATAATTATGGACTTATAACTGTAGAGCCTGACGATGAAGTTATTGAAAACAATTGTTCGCTCAAATATTTTTTGTATTCATTACGCATAGTACTACATTCTTACAATATCGTTTTCTCGCCGACTTTCTTTGTCAGTAGAAGATTTGACAGCTTAGAACAACACATCATCTGAAGTAAATGCAATAATTTATACTAACTTCGTAGTATTTCGAAATTTATCATCATATATATATATATATATATATATATATATATATATATATAATACTCAGTATAGGGTTGTGGAGATTGTTGAGTTTAAATTGATATCATGAATGGATGAATGTTAAATCGCCACTGAAAACCTGGAAGCATTGGATGGCCGTTTCGTCCTAGTATGGGACTCCCCAGCAAATCGCATCCACAACGCCACATGTGGGACTCGAACCCAGGACCTTCGATCTAGCGCGCGGACGCTTAACCTTTAGATCACCAAACTGAAAATCCTGGGTTCCAGTTCCACGCGTGGGATCGTTGATGCGCTCTTCTGAGAATTCCCATATTGTGACGAAACGGCCGTCCAGTTCTTCCAGGTTTTCAGTGGTGGTCTAACATTCATGATATCAATATATAGTTCTGCCAAGTAGTCTTCATTCCCTTCGAATCGCTTACAAAGCTTGCATACGGAAATAGCAATTTTTAGCGTAAAACACCATTGTTCCTACCTTGACGTGGTGGTCGGCATTGCCTATCGTGATGAAACATCCGAGCTATACTGGCTGGAGCAACCGTCTCTCAAGGTCCTACCATGCCAGATAGGTCGGTTGAAGAGCGGTACGACTAAAAGCAACAAACCAAAGGTCCGAAGTCGTACTGCCTACTATACAGAGGTGTGACAGCAGCAAGGTGTTTCCTTCAGACAACCAGCATGATAGCGATGCTGCCTTCCCATAAGGAGGAGTGGGGTTAGAAAAGGTCGACCCTAAAAATACACACGTTGCCTCATCTCACGGATATCCGTCTCCGGCGGTAAGGTCCCAACAAGTACGAAGCTAACACAAAAATTGCTCATAAAGTGGTCGCGTGTGACCGACCTCAAGCAGTTGTCCCTTGGGCAACGCGGTCGCGCTTTCAGATCAGTAAAACCACCTCTAATGCGGTTTCCTTTTCAGGTACCTCCAGAAGAACCCTTCCACGGTGTTGGCAACTGGGAAGTAATAACTGCCCTGATACCTCTAACAGCACTCAATATCACTGTATTCATAATCAACGTGTTGCGTATGCCTGAACACCAATTACCACGACGCACAATGCTGACTGGCGTTGGGAATGGTTGAAAGAAAGTCAGGGGCGGTTAAATCAAAACGTGGCATCAGTGCTTGAAGTCACTAACTTCTAGTCTGAGCCATGTTGGTAGATGCAGACTACTTGGTTGGGGACGCCGGGTAACATGGCCCAGAATCGATCTTTCCTTCTACGAACTATTTCTGTACTATATCCTTACATATAATCTTTCCTTTAAATATTACACCATTGAGTTAACTACTTCTATGAATCCGGTGTTCGTCTAGCTGTGCTAATGAGGTATGGCAACTTGAACCGATGCACGTATGTGCCTGGTCCTATGTTGTAACTGACTGACTGAGCGTAAAACACGCGTTAAGTCAATTATTGTTTTTGAAATTTCCTTTGCTCAAGGTAAAAAGTTTTTCTAAAATAAAATATCTCGTTAAATATTTGCTATACAAAGTTCTTATTCAATCGATCAGTGTTTGATCATAATTTTATCATTGTTGGTGACTGTATAAGACTAAGACTAACATTTTTTATTTCACTGATTGCATTGATCGTTTGCTATTTTGTACATAAAAATTCTTTCATCTATACAATCACATTCTTTTTCGTTTAATAAAGTACGTGAATTTGTTTGTCTATTGGTTTGTTCATTTGATCTGAACTTTTAAAGATGCTTGATGACTCAAAAATGTAACTTTATAATCATAGTATCAAAATTATTGATATGAATATTTAAGGTGTATGATAAACTAGTATTATAACTCTAAATTTCTGCCTATAAATATATGCCCAAACTACTTTGTTTTACAGTCTGACTCATTGTTTTTTTTCTGTAGCTAACCAGTTTAAACTTCATTCAGTAAAGGTGTTTTCTTAAGTAGACATTAGTAGTTTACACTGGTCTAGTGACTACAAAAACTCATTTGAAAACTGTTTTCAAACAACAGATTAGATTGGCTTACAGAATTTTACAGAGAGTACAAATACCAACAAACTTTAATTCGAAACAAAATACGTTCCATCATTTATTGTTCACACATACATCTATTTTGTTTAGTCAGACACATATATGCATCGATCCAAGTTGCCACACCTCATTAGCACAAATATATAAGTCTTGGTCATTATAGTATTGTATCTCTCATCAGTTGATCTACTTCATTTATTCCTAACTGACTACTTTTTTATTATTTACATCTAAAAATATTGTAAAATCCGGTACCAACAAACACTACATAACTTAAAATTAGAAACAACTATCGTTTATTATTTAAACTTACTTCACTCACAGATTATTTACCTTTTACAAATATTTTCGAACTTTTACTTATTAGCTATTTATACATACAAATTTATCATACCTAAATAAAGATAATTTGGCAAAAAAAATTCTTTTTCAACCTAGAGGTCAGAGAATAATAGGAGGATGAGACATAACTGTCCACTTGACAGATAAGGTAAAATGAAAAACTTAAAAAATATAATACCATTTAAATACTAAGTCAGGTCCTGTTTTGTGTTTATCCGTACTAACTTCTTTGCATAATAGTCTGAAAATACTTGATATACCATATATATTGTGTTTTGTATTTTTCTTGTTCAGCCTCAATGTGATGAAGCATTCAAAATGGCCAAAACGAAAGTGACAGATATACTTAAAATGTAAGTGCATAAACTTAATTACCGAAGTTCTCTTGAATTTTATATACATAGTTGGAATGACAAAAGAAAACCTGGTCCACAGTATGATTTTAATCAATTCTCTTGTCATATCACATCATTTTGATTTTCTTTTTCCGTGTAATATTGTTGTATCACTTGATTTTGTATTTGAGACTCAGGAGAAGGGATAACATCAATGATCTTCAAAAACAAACCGCATAACTACTGCTTTAACAATATTGTTTGGAGCATACATAGTTGACTTATTTACCAAAACTTGATTAGTTCTAATCGTATAGTCGAAAACTTACTGAATATAAAGGTAGATTCCAGTTGAATATATATCTGTGAGGTTTGGAACTTTTAACTAACTGACTGAGTTATTACTTAAAAGGTGAAAAATATATTAAAAATAAAAGCTTCTACTACAAAAATATCTGTGAATGTCTGTGGAATTTTGTAAACTTTTTGATAATAATTATAAAAACTATCATTGAACAGTCATAATAACACTCATTCATTGTATTTTCATACCATTGAGACACTATAAAAGCCTTATGGTTTAGCAATCGGATTATCTCTTCTAAGTTCAAAACTTCGTAAGCAAGATCAAACTAATGATAATTACTTATTCATCTGATCTTTAATAGTGTACTTGGGTAACAAATTCAAACATGATTTAAAATAGATTTATCATACGTCTAATTAATTATAACTTGTTCTACTTTAATTTTCAGTATTGAAACTAAAATTGAAAAACTTCGTGGTTCACCAAAAAAGTAGGATTTCTGCATCCTGTTTACAGTGATCTATTCAGTCTGGTGATATTCACTCAAATGATGTATTTGTCTTCAGTGATTTGTAATGTGTGCATATTCTTATAGAAATTACTCCTCTTTTAGTCTTGTTATACATTTAAATTTTCTCTGAATCATGTAACAATACTATAATTGTGCTTTTGTCATTTATTCCGTTATTAATTAAAGAATCTTCACATTTTAAATTAAGAATTATTTCCTTCTACCTCCTGCCTCTTCGTTTTCGTTTTGCATGTTTCAATGTTACTTGTTTTTATTTTGTTTGTCATTAGTTTGTGAATCAGAATAAATTGGTTGATTCTGTCTTGAAGTTTTATGTATCAACTTTAGGTTTACAGTTATTTGAACGTTTTGTCTACCCTATTAATCTCAATAGATGTCACAAAAAACTAGCCTTGATTTTGCCTTCCTAGTTCTCAGTTATTGAGACTGTTTTACAACGAAATATTTTATACGTATTTAAAAGAAGCTTGATCCATCTTCACTTTAGCCCTACAGAAATTAAAAAAATTGTGATGCCTAAATAAACGTACATGCTCATTCGATTGTCCTGCTCCATATGATACGTATCAATATCTAATCAACTTGATTTTTGAGGAATCCTAAATAATCACAATAGTTTGTTGTCGCTTCCAAATTTATCGTATGTAATCATGTTATGGGGATCTCATTTGACAAGGCGTCGATTCCCACTTTTGCAAAACGTAGTTACGACGAGTTCATTGTTATTTGAATGACAAAATCTGAAAGACAGTTTCATGAGGATTCAGTTTCGAAGATACTGTTACTTATAGATCTACAAGTAGAACCTAGCTTTTAGTTAACGTTCGCATCAAAAAGCAGTGATTTCAAGGACTTAACTAGTGAGATTCGCGTTTAAATGATCGGAAAGATAAACAAAACCTAGTTTAAGTCACCTAGATAACCGACTACCCTTCATATTGTAAAAATGCTTACAGTGAAGTCCTTCAGGATCCTTTTAATTACGAGGTTAAACCTCACAAATGTTAAGTAAGTAGTCAACGAGCACAGTTATGCCTCGTTAGAAAAGCTTAACTAGAGACCGTTTATCCTAACTATGGGGATACATACAGCTTAACATCATGTTTGCTCCTATCGGTCTTCGGTATGGTAGTCGTTGGCAGTGAGGAAGTGCTTCAACGGTAAATATCTTACGCAAATCAGTAAGGTTAGTGAGGATTCCTTAAAATAGGTACACTATCGATTCTCCTTAGCATGGGTGTCTCCAGTACCAACTCCAGCTTTACGTTTTGTAGGAGGATTGAGTCTGTTGGAAATTTAGACTCGTTGGTTCATGTCAAAGAATTCAGGATCTTATAGAAGTTGGTAATAGTCATGATAGACCACCAGTCTTATTTCTGCGCCCATTGGTTCATCTATACTTTTCACCATTATCACAGACAATAACCGAAAACACGGTTTTGCAAGAATCTTGAAGGATAGACTTATGGTGAAACCATATCCCTAAAGCAGTGTTCACCGCCTCGGACGTTCTAAATTTGCTACGTGGGGGGTAAACATTAGCACTCAACATGCTATCCCATTGATATTCATTGCGAATGTCCTAGTTAGAGTCTTCCTGCTCTTTAGGGTTTTGAACCTAAGAAGTATAAATTCTGTTTTGCGTCCAACTGCCTACAGGCCGCGTAACGTGACTAATTTCATGTTCTTCTTTAGATTAGCTGAATTAGATAGTCTTAGTATTAGCCTTCAGTTCGACTTGAAGAAGACTTCACTTCTGTTTAATTTCACTGTTTATTACGAAGTGAGATGAGCGAAAGAATAGCATACTGAAGATACCTGAATGTGGGAATTTCGACACTGCCTTTATGCCACATACCTTAGGCTACATAGTCCAGATAGCAGTTGCGGTCCCCTCCCCACAGCGTTTTCAATACACTTTCTAAGTATGTGAATAGTTGATTGTAATTACCAAAGTAATGCGCATATTTCGAACAGGGACTGCGATTCACAGCTTTGAGACAACCAAATCAAAGTCACATTGGATGTCAAAGCAGCACTTACAGTCATCCCTAAGTCGTTACTGCCTCAACCATAAAAAAATTTAACTAGGCCATCAAACAAAAAGAATGATAAAGCAGTAGAAGCAAATGATGGACAAGCCTGAGCACTGGAATTAGATGAAAATCAAAGAAAAGAAGATGTTCTACATTTGCTTTTAGAAAGGTTTCGGTGTGAGGACTACAGCGATATCATACTACTTTCAGAGCCAAATAAATTCTTCGATGTAATATTATGGGACAGAGTGAAAATCCATGGGATATTCAACTTTGAAACTAATAGACTGGATTCTTTCAATATGAGGAAGCATTTGCCAGGGTGGGTAGGAGGAACTTATGGATTCCTTCAGAAACTATAGATTGACTAAAAGGTTTTCACTGTCTTGAAGAACTTTTCAGGGCCTCGAGACCTTCAAGGAAGGCAGCTCAAAAATCCACTTGAAGATGTATCGAACAAGACCATTTAATCATTTTTTCTTTCTTAAAGTCGCTGAATGTGTTGTAACGATCTCCAAATTTCAGAAGATGCACAGAGTACAGCAGATAACGTAGATACAGTTAAGCGGTTTTAGCCTCCAGAAAAAATTGCCCTTATACCCGCACTCAGAAGTAAATAAAGGCGACAACGGGTGCAGCAGCAAGATGGCACACAAGTCGAGAATCAACCAAGTCACACCTTATGGTACATCTCTGAATCAAATGAAAGTCTTTTTGTAGCTAGGCAGCATAATTAACTAGGTGAACTAGATGTGAAGGCACAAAATGACAAAGCAAGATGGTGGTTTTCACAACTAAAAACATCTGGAGCTCTAAATAATTGTTATCGAAAATTGGAAATCTGTCACCAAAGTCAAACTGTTCTACTGTAATATGACAAAATCTGAAGAACTAAAGTAACAATTATTGATAAACTACTCGTATTTCTAAACAGATATCCATAACGGAAACTTCAGATCAATTGTCTGTAGTTTATCACTACCAACACAAGACATCTATTCGGATGAAATTAGAATACAGTCGATGTAAGTGAAACGTACATTAAGGAAAGCATTATTCTGTATCACAAGCCAAGTTCAAACTTGAGATCCTCAACGTTAAGAGAGAAGGGGAAAACCGAAAGCACATTGCGCTTAAAATCAGAATGAGACATCAAAAATTGAGTGTAGCTTGGCAATAAATGGAGGAAAGAGCTTTCGACAGAATGTGCTAGAAATTCCAAGTCGACGGCCAATGCCACAAACTACGTTAACAGTTCATTAATTTGCCATTTGAATAACTATTTCCTTTACGATATCGAAATGACTTCTCTGCTTTTTAGAACTTCGTTTCTGGTTTATGCAGAGAACTTTTCTCTCAGACAAGTGCCTAGTTGGAGTGGTAAAATGAACTGATGGTTAACGTTTCATCTTAATATATGTGTAGGGAGATGTAAATTTTAGAAATACATACTTCTGTAAGTCCCTGACATTGATTCTTACCTCATTAATTTCACTCGACACACCCTAGCTAAAGGCGCTCCGTCACTCATCCGGACTAGATTCGTCAGTGGTTACGCCACGCTTCTCATCCGCTGCAACTACTAAGCAAATTACACCAAACACCTCTCGAAGCATCGAGAGTTTCACAAATATATCTTCGAACCCCCTCATTTTTGACTTCTGATTTGACTGGGTTGGTATCTATCGATCCTAAAGATGTGACACAATCGCCCAGTTTATCGATGTTTCAGGAAACGCTTTTCCACTGCTGATCGGATTAATTATTTCTAGGGGTTTTCTGGGTCTCCCGATAATTGATTGACGAATATTTTTAGCCTATTAGAAAGCCCTTGATGGTAAGTAACATCTTAGAATTACTAAGTTTAGTCACCTCAATCACAGTTTCGCGTTATCTTGTCACTGGTCGAGTATGTCATTAAACCTCACAGTAAGTTTCAGAACATTCTCATGTGTGGTTTGTTGTTCTAAGACTCAATAGTAGTCACGTGAGTAATAAAATTTTTGAGCCTATGTTCAAATATTCATCTGCAAATGGAGTATCTAAGCAAGCTAAGGAACATTAGAAATTGCATGTTTAATCTTTTCGTAACTCTAAGAATACGAAAAATTCTTTATGCCTAGTGTTTTGAGCATACCCTTTCCAACTATTATTATCATTATCATCACTATTTATACTCCTTGTTAAATACCCATTTCAGAACAAGAACGTTTATTATGTCGTTTGTAGTTGATAAGGATTTCGGCGCACTTTATCTCTTCAAGTTTACGTTGGCCTTAATAACAACTTGCCAGTGAATGATGCAAAATCCATTTTGAATATAGTTCGTTAAAGGAAGTTTCTTATGAACAGTGGGGAATTTATATGAATATTACGATGAGTGTGCTAATCAAATATTGCTACTTTGGCTCGTAAAACTTGAATACATCAAAATTTACAAAAATGCTCTGATGGTGTTAGCAAAGATCCAACTTATAAAATAAGAAGATAGAAGCGGGTGAAAACAGCTTGCTGATTATTTAAACGTGATACTATAGACAGTGTTGGAAATAGACAATCAGTCATGTTTGCTAAATACGAATCGAGAAAATCAAATAAGGTGCGAATGACAGCGTTATATAGAGTTATGATGTCAGATATAACGTGGACTCAAGCACTTGTTTTAGTTTATACCTGTCATATGAAGGTCAACAGTCAATGTGTTACGGGAGGACTAAAGACATTTGGCTGAATAAAATCTTTATATTAAATATTATTAATTTCACTAATTTTGGATGTATTTGTCTTACTCAACTTCCAAACTTGTTTGTTTATATCATTATTTTAGGACATTTTGGCTTCTCTTTATCGTTTGTTTGGTATTTAAGAGTTTTTTCTCCGTGAACCTACATCACTGAAGGTTTGTTTCTATAATTGTTATGTTTATTGTCGGAATGACATTTGAGTCGACTATTTGTAAATTGCGAGTAAACTTTAGTACCTAAATTGGAGCTTGGTTCAATCGGTAATATGGGTTTGTAAGTTGCAAGTAGATAGATATATCGTACTTCGATAACGGGAATGAGAGAAAACTTTAACGTAACATTAAAGTAACCTCCCTTATTCTCATAGATTTTGATCGACATCGACAAGTGTACATTCGAAGAAGACACTAAATATAAATCACTTTTGTTAACAGAAACTAGCCGGTCAATGTCGACAGAGGACGTATATGAACTTTTCGATTACTTATAGCATGTGGATATCCATGTACACACATGATACTTGAGTGCGTTCAATGTATTGATCTTTCTGATATGTATGTTGACTAGAATATATATGAGTCCAGTTGAAAGTATCTACCAGGAATGCGTACGCTGGATTTGAGATGTTAATGAGTATTTGCATCTTTGCACTTGTATAGAGCCAGTTCTAGATGAACATCTGAAATAAAACTAATACAAACGTTAGCAGAGTAATTGGAAGTCTAAATGTTTTATAGCGGCTGAAGCACGCAACAACTATAGCTGGTAATTTTTCAGTATGATAATAAGTGATGCTTTTTGCTCAATATTTTATAGTCTGATAAGCGATAAAATGTCGGTAATATTTTATCCAAAGACTATAACGCTATTACACATAGCCATCTTTTATCAGTACGTTATTAATGACCTCGCACTAGTCATATGGTTCATCCAGACGATGTCACTAAACACTAGAAATTATAAAACAAAATTTCAGATATGGAAATTTGAAAACATTTTCAAGATTTGCCCGAATCTTAAGCCAAAATTAAAATATTTGTAAGCTTGCATGCAAATTTATCTACCTAGCTTGACTTCGTAGCCACATGCATATCATATTTCTCTCCGTTTCCCAGAAAAGTTGTCTATAATTTATGGTGTAGAAATTTTGCCTATTGCGCTGCATCTAAGTTACATGGAATATACTTAAGAACCAGTTGAAACACCTTATTTTGCCTACGAGACAACTAAAACGTTATGTGGCACAGCCCTGAATTTAAAACGGATAACATATACTGTAGGGAGCGATTTCCTACAGGTTTAATTCTGAGTTATTCTCTAGACCGTCGAATACAGAGTCTCGGTTTGGCCAAAGTCAGAACAAGCAAGCTATTTGGCTAAATAAACTTTATCTGTTTCTAAAACACAAATTAACATCGTTAGTGTACAAACAAACTATACGGTCTATTATTACAGAAAAAAAACAGACAAATAACATACCAAACAGTAGCCAGAGAATAGGAAAAATGAGTCAACAAGCAAATATTGTTTTACAATGAGCATCAAACTGTGATTGGTTAATAAAAAGATACAGTCGTACAAGTTCAAAAGGAGTTAGTGTGGTGGTGGGCGTTTCCCTTCATTATTGGTGGGTTCGTCTATCGATCACATTTTACATATACATTCGTGGTTGTCTTCATGACGAAAACATACACCACAAGTACATCATTATCACGAAACTATTAGCATTCCACTAAGTCACCAAGTATGCAATTACAATTTGATGGAACGTTTCAACTAGCCTGTATAAAAAAGTGACCAATAAATATCCCTGTACTTTCCACTGATAGAACTTATGTAGGTTCGATTTAGTGCCTACTACAAAACAACTTATAAACGGTGTATTTTTAACAAATCTGACGTATAGTTAATTTGCGTGCCGGGGCTTAAACAATAATTATAATGATACTATTTTTAAGTGTTCAAAATTGGGTGAGTTAGAGCTCAATGTAATTCTTTAATAGTATGTTAGAACCTTCACTTACTATCGCTGAGAATTTTTTCCTTACTGTTCATTCGAGGTTTACAACACATTTTTACGTTATAGCATTCATAACATTGCACATACTTCTAGAACGGAATGCATTCTAACAAAGTTTGAAACGCGTATGTCCGCTTTTACCAAACTGAAAACATCTAACAATAATGAGGATCTGGACAATCACTCTCACTACCGGAGACATGTAAAAGCGATGAGATTCGATTTAATGTTCTAAACAATATTACTGATGACTGGCCAATAAATTATATATTAGTCACTAACGTGTAAACACTGAAATCGAAAAGAATGTTGTTGGTGCATTTACTGTTTGTCTATACGTAACTCGAATTAGGCATGTCATGACTGACAATATGGTCACAAAATTGTGAGACTATCTCACATTAGACAGACGTAGTTATCAGATTCAATACTATGCCTTATTACTTCTGACTATTATTTATGAACGCGTCTATACGATAAGGCGAATTGACTGAATTGAATGTTTTTGACTAGGCATAATATTATTGCTAATTCTCCATAGTCCTATATCAAATTCACGCCGTTGTCTATCCTTATGAGGCAGTGAGGGGTCCTGTTTTATAACAACCTTCTAAAAGTAAATGGAAACTTACTGGCTTGGTTACATACCTCATATAATAACAAAATATATACATAGGACTATCACATTCATAAGGTTGATTAGCAATGTCTCAATAAGATTCCAACGCACGCCCCCCCACTTTCACATTTTTTCATCCCTACTTGACGTCGTGTGAATCTCCTAACCTTGCGTACATTATGCTAGGAATCAGTGTCATTCTACGGTCAATACGATATGCCGCCGTTATTATGTGGTATATACCATGAGTTTTGTCCCTTGGGATACCTGTATGCCCGTTTTAGACGGGTCTTTTGCTTTTTGCAGTCATTAAAGTGTCAATAGTTAATTTCGCTGTTGAGATGTAGTTTATAATCTGCTAACCGGGCTTAACCTTAAATATTTTGCGAGTCACCTGCATTATCCATTTTTTACTGTGACTCGAATATTCTATTTGTAAGACAATAATAATACAATGTTCTTATAACCTCTTCATAAAAATTGACTAAAGTTTTAGTCGTCTTTTTCTTTCGGAAAACCGTTGACACAATATGATCAAATAAATAAACCTCCAGATTCATATTCAAATAGGTATCAGTATCTAAGCCGGATTTTTTCGTTAGTGTAGGAAATATTGATTTACTTTGATGAACGTTACACCTAACGATAAGACAGCCTTTTAATTGAGACGATATTTCAATTTGTTACGTCAGATGGGGAAAGAACCTTGAGAGACAACTATATTTACAACATTTATTAATTTTCTAGTTGAAATAGGATTGTTCGAGTGAAAGTTACATAGTAGTACTTGCACGGAGTGAAGAAAAAGGAAAAAACATATTATTACCAACAAGTAAGCTTTCTTAAGGATTTGCGCAGTCGAAGAAATTAAAAAATACTGATCGTGGGTAAATATTTTGGAAGCCTATACCGGAGATTTTCTGAAGTAGGTGAAAGATCTGGGTAAAGTAATGATTATTTTTGATTGAAAACCCCTCACTTAAGAAAGTATTTGGCCAAGTTTCTAAAAAAGTCTGAGTTTTAAATTGCGCTTGTATTGACATTTCTTCGAAATCGGCTATTTTAACAATGAACTCAAAGACATGAGTCTTGTGGAAGATTCCACGCCTCATATGTTGCAAATAGAAATCGTAAAACGCAACTAAACGTAATAATGGAGGAATAACAGCAAAAGCATTCAAATACAAAGTATTTTTAGGTGTGGTGGATAATTCTTCACATTTGGCTAACAGATGAAGACTTACGTTCTGGTTAAGCATACCAGCCTCTCAGCGTGACACTTAGTTTACACACAAAGTACTGACGACTTTTCCTATACGGATCTGAAGCTGAAGCCCATTGGTCTAAAATGTTGATGAATAAATATTGTTGCAGAAATTATATGATTAGCCTAGCATTTAAAAGATGCCAACAAATGCTTTGAAATGGATTGTGGTGCATGTTGACCGCCGAGGTGCAGATACATACACGGTGAATAAGGATGAGCTATCGGTTGTCCAGATCTATACGTCGATAATAAAGACTTGAAAACCTCTTCACCCAACTGCGAAGTAGTCACAAAGGTTTTAGAATAATCCTGTCAATAAGTAGCTTTTAATCATGTCTATACAAAAACGTTCTTGACCTGACATAAAGAGACTTTAGCAAAGGAATATCGTTTAAGTTGATGTACAGTTTCACAAGTCTGCGAAATAACGAGAGGATGGCTTCACCAAGCCTCCTTTCTTTGTCAAGCAGAAAGACTAAAAGCGAATTTATTACAGTTTTTAGATAACTGATGATTTGCATATAGCATACAGTCTCATGTCTACTGAAATAAGGAATTTACAAGGACAACCCAAATTTGCTCACAAGTCCAGAACAAATTGGTTGTCAGATGAAAATCGACTTTCCGTCTAACGGCCAATGATTGGGACTCATTATCTCAACACATACATGAAACATCATCTGTCGAAGCAATCTAAGGAACATTAGGTCAACTGAGATACCGTCATATCCGAAAGTAACGCAATTGCTGATAGCATTTCTAAGCTGTCGACTATTTTGTTTAAAAATTTATATGCTTGCGAGGAAACGGTTAATGTTTTCAATTATAGTTTCTTTAAGTGTTTCGATGTACTTGTTTTCACTCTTATTCAAGGTGAAGTCAAATTTTGAATATCTTGTCAATGAACAGCAACGGTATGAGTTCTGATGGCCCAAAAAGAAAAGTAGCATTGATCACCGGAATAACAGGACAGGTTAGTTTGTCGAAATTTAATTACATATTTCAGGATGGTTCTTATTTGGCCGAGTTCTTATTGTCAATGAATTATATAGTAACGATAATTGAAATCACGAATCGTCTTTAGGTTCATGGAATTATAAGAAGATCAAGCACGTTTAATACTGGTAGGGTAAACCATATTTACGAAAAGAACAAGTTATTTTCCGAAAGTACATCAAATAAATTGTTTCATGTAACCTTAACAGAAACGTTTTTTCTTCACTATGGTGATATGACTGATAGTTCTTCATTGATCAAAATAATCAGTAAAGTAATGCCTGATGAAATATACAATTTGGCCGCTCAGTCCCATGTGAAGGTTCATATCATTATGCAAAATTAACTCTGTTTTAGGTCTCTTTCGACCTTAGTGAGTATACTGGTGAAGTTGTTGCTCTTGGTACTTTACGTTTGCTGGATGCTATTAGGACATGTAAATTAGAAAAATCAGTCAAGTTTTATCAGGCTTCCAGCAGTGAACTGTATGGGAAAGTCGTGGAAACGCCACAAAGTGAGAAAACACCTTTTCACCCGAGGTCACCGTACAGTAAGTTTCGAAGTCAGTTTTTGCGTATTGTTGAACATCATAAACATTTTTCTTCCAAACTCCCTACATTCCGTATCCCTACATTTTCTCAATGAACGGAAGTACGCTGAAATCTATGATGGTAACGAAAGGAAGTAATATAACAGTTAGTAGCAGTCTTCGTTTGGCAAAAAAACCTTTTCTGTTTCTTAATTGGTATAGTCCAACAGCTGTTGCAAATTGAGCTTGTTCAAAACGATAGTTATTCCAATTACTTCCCATTTATTCAGCCTAGACGTTAATAATACTGTAGATAAATATACTCAGTCAACTTTAGTTGAAAATATCCAATCTTTCGTATCTTTTTTTTGGATGGCCACTAAATTGTAACTGTACGCTAGAAAAACGAAGAGCTCCAGACCCACTATGTGAAAAAACCACCCGAATAATTGTAAACCTCGATAAATTGATCGTTTGGTTAATTTACTAATCTCAACATTTGAAGCTTGGCTCCAAGATTAGTCATTTGTTGACACTGCAGTGTGCTATTGGTACTTTAAGTAGACTGATAACAATCAGTCATCTATTATCAACAATTATTTGCTTGTACCATGATGTATAACGAAGTTGACTGATTCTGTCTGCGTATCGCTCTTTGGTTATCTTTCTTGCACTATGTGTGCTCCAAGTTCTTTTCGAAATTCATAGAAACCCTCTATGTATACACTATTGCACATGTAAAATATACTAGTACATGAAATACCAGCTTCACCTACACAAAAAGTCATCAACATAAATATGGAAATAATTTATTAACAGCGGTAAACAATTTAGAATAAATTTCAAGATATGTGTCAAGTAGAGGGGAAACTTCTAAAACTTGGATAAAGATGGAATATTAGTCTTCTTATACCAATATATCATCTAAAGTATGCAATTAATCACTATTTTCTTGTGAAATACAATCAGGAAACTAATGAGTTTGTTGCACTTTTACTGGACTTATGTACACAGAAAATGAAATATCAGTATTTATTAAAGTGTGGTGATTTAACTAATTAATTCAAAAGAAATATACATGCGGTTTATTTTGCGTGATAATTTTTTTTCTGTATGTTCGGCAAAGGCGTTGCCAAACTGTACGCATATTGGATTGTGGTAAATTATCGGGAGTCTTATGGAATGTTTGCATGCAATGGAATTCTATTCAATCATGAAAGCCCCCGGCGAGGAGAAACGTTCGTTACTCGAAAAATTACACGTGCAGTTGTACGAATTAAAAAGGGTCTACAGGTTCGAACATTTTTTTTATATGATTGATCATTTCAAATGTGGTTGGAATGATTATAGAAAAGGTTTGTCTTTAACAAGTCCATTTTGAGATGCCGTTCAATAGTAGTTACATATTTTAACTATTTACACCTAACACGAATAGCTTATATATATTTTGCGACAATCCTATTTTTCGTTGTAACCGAAAAAGTAAGTGCGAATTACATTGAAGTATATCGACGTCGAGTAGAAGTAACACTTTAACTTCAGAAGTTCACCATAACCGACTCATACTTCATATACGATTCTGATACCATTAACCCCTTTTAATTGCATTTGAAACATGATCGAAAATTAGGCAGTTCATTAATGCTAGAAGAGTATCGAAATCTACTAATAATATATAAGAAATTAACCAAATAAGTAAAGTGAAAAATAAATATCGGTTCGCCAAGTTTGCTAGTAGTTGAAAATAATGTCTTATGGCCTCATATTTTTAGTATATTTCATGGTAATCCTGCCTACCGGTTCCATATAGCGATTCTTCTACCAAATCCAAATTTTCGCGTTTGAAATTGTTAATGAGTGCAATATGGCCATTTCAGAGTGTTAAAATGCCCTGATTATAATACAGTGACATAAATGGCATCCAAGGTTTTAAAACAAACGAATAGCACATGGGTCTTGATCTGTAAATACCATGGAGTGCATTTCCTAATAATCCTCACTTCATTGAATAATAATCCTTTAAGGTCAGAGTGTGTTAAATTAGTGGTGCTGAACTCAAACTAAAGGTTTAAGATAGGAAATATAGGCCAATCGAAAAGGTTGTTATCTAGACTCTCGAAATGCTCTCACATGGCCACGCGTATATATCCTCTTTCAGGGAAGTCCTACTCACTGCCTCCTCGTGGCGGGGGTTGTTTACGAAACTGTCCGGCACTTTAATCGGGCTGGTGGATAAGGCGGATCCACCCAAGGGAGTTGGGAAACCCTGATTCCATACCAATAGTGCACATTGGCTCCAGTATCCTGAGGAAACAAATGGTGTATGAACCAGTTTTTGGTCACCGGCTACCATGGAACAGCATCTCCTTACGATGCTCCACTGCCTTGTGGATCAGACCTTCAGGTAGAAGGCCCCAGGTTGTAACTACCTAAGGAGATTACCTGCTTCGGTTTGGGCACCTGGGGAGTATCACAGCCCTCACACAGATCGAATGAGATTTGTGTGGCGCATATGTATCTGGTGCCTCCTTGTACCAATATCTATGTGTTAAAATAAATAAATAAAATAATTTAGACTAACTAGTTACGTTCCAGTCATTATTCATAATCTTAAGATAAACGGTGTATGTGCGTGTAAAAAATCCAACATAGTTCATTTTTAAAATAGTAATTACATTCGAGATCCTTCACCAGATATAAGTGAATTCCATCAACTAAAATTATCTCGGTACATACGTCAAATGTAATGGACAAACTTTTAATACCATCCTGGACTTGTGATTAATAAAACATTTAATTTTAACAATATTTGTTAGTTACCATTTTCAATCATTAAGGAATATTTTTGCCAGTTTCTTTCAAAGTTATACAAATACTTTGCAGCAACAGGGCCCATCCTAACTCCGGATTATGTTTGGATTATAACTAGGTTTATTAATATTATCGATTAGTCTTGGATTGAATACATCTTTACGCTTCATTTACTGTAAAACCTTTCGCGTTGATTTTTAGAGGCGCTGACAACGCAGCTTAGCTACCCTACGTCCCTTACATAATGCTAATTATTGCTAAGATGGTGCCACATTTTATCGTTGTAAATTTCAATAAAGCTACCTTGTTTTTTGGATATTGCAATAATCGAAAAAACTTCGAATTTATAAGTCGTAAACTTTGGTAGAACTTGTCTCCATATTTGAGCACTTCTCAATTTCATCTTAATCTGTATTCATAGCTTCTATTATTTGACTTTTTCTAATATGGTCTCTTTTTCTATATAGAGTGTTTTGGAATTAGGTAATTTAAATTCTGAGCGTGATTGGGGATTCGCTGGTGATTATGTTAAGGCTATGTGGCTTATGCTTCAACGTGATACACCGGAGGATTTCGTTATTGCATCTGGGGAAAAGCATTCTGTTCGTGAATTTACCAATTTGGCTTTTGAACATGTTGGAATCCATTTAACGTAAGTACATATATATTTAAGTGTTTCGTGTTTCGAATCTTTACGTCTACTCATGTATTCATTTTAGGTGTTTAATACGTGATATAAACTAAGCGATAATCATAAAAATATTTAACATGATATTTCTGCACTTCATTGAATTGTCCGCAAAATTATAGTGGTACTTCAGTTTGTTGGACAAATTTTACATCCATGAATTTAAAAAATGATAAGTAATGACAAATCCTCGAGTAAAGGCTCACATAACCTATCTCAAGTCGCTTTATGTACCCAAACCAGATCAGCTGGACAGGAGTTTGGAATCAGTGTATATAAGCCTATCAGTTAACACCACCAACTGACGAAACGGCAGGTCGAAAACTATTTTAACTTCTAATTTAATGTATGGAATATTTTTCGGTTTGTTCAAATAGAGACGCTTATCAACAAGAAAGAGCCGCTTTTCATACTTCTTTTTTTTAATTTACAATATACTTTTAGAAATGTTGATTTTTAAGCAAGAAAAGACTCAGGAATCTTGAAACATGCTTTCATGTGATATCTTTCTGTTATTATATAGACTTCTATATTTATTGAATCACCATAAATGCAATTGTATAGCATTAGTTTGAAACCCGAGTGTTCAAACTATAGCTTCGGCTGTGAAAACAGTTTCTACAGCGACTACCAGTCTAATGTTAACATTTTCAGGTAGCTTTGATTTCCCATTACTTTGAATTACATCTTTCTCGATATAAGTTCAAAAAGTCGAAGTGCTTTACTTATTTGCTTGTTATTAATATTTAGTAAGTCAACTAGTTATTTTAATAAGGTTATAGTGAATCAAATGAGTAAGATATTCATGGTAGGTTTTTGCTTATTTATTTAGATTCTCCAAACAGTTGAAGTTGCACCATAATTTGAGGTACATCCTTGAAGTTTTGTATTGGTGACATTTGACTTTTAAAACTGTTATTGGGAGTCATATAGTATTTGTTTTTAATGGCCATAATATTTATTTCCGTTGGACTATTTTTCTTGTTTAATCACTCACTTTGAGAGCGTTTTTAAATGCTTGAAATTAATGATTTTTAAATAAAATTAGATGGAAAGGAACCGGTCTTAATGAAGTTGGTGTTGATTCAGAATCAGGAAATGTACTTGTTCGTGTCAATGAACGTTACTTCCGTCCTGCAGAAGTAGTAAGTATAGTATTTCACAGGTGTCAGTTTATTGCTTCTGTTTAGCTCATTTATTATTGCATATTAAATTTCTGTCTATTTCTACATTAGTTCATTATCTACATATTTGCAAATCGCCATTCAGTAGATTAAATAATAAAATGAATAGTGATTTCGATGTCTGTTCTGTGCATTGGACTAAAGGACTCACTTATTTCCATATACAATATCTTCGAAATAAACAGTTTTCTCTTTTTTTTATTATATTCCAAAAAAACACAAGCTGACAAATACCTCAGTGTGACTTTGCAGTTATTTAATAAGGATATGTCAAATTAGTAAAACTGGCATTAATCCACATGCATTCAGAGTAATTGTTTGTTAATGCGGTAAGTACTGAAGAGTGATCAACAAATATTGCAGTTTACGTTCCTGTTCGACTGAACACATTGCCTATGAACAGTAACCAGACTTATTCTGATTTAATTGATCTGTGTCTCTGAACATTCAGAGCACAATATAGCTTTCTGAAGGAGTTACATCAATGTCAGATACCTAGCTTCTGCGTTAAAATAAAACAAAAGAGGGGAATTCAGCAATCATTCTTTACTGATGAAGTCAGTGAATTACTTCGATCAGACTCACCTACTAAGACTATATGTAGAAAAATACTCATTCATAAACTCAGTAAGTAGTTGAAGTGACTTTAAAGAGCGGTTCATCCGGACTTGGATTACTTTAAGGAAAGATACTATTCACTCAAATACTGTCAGCAAAACATGTACGAAGTTTGATTTTTTGTAGAGAAAACACTTCTTAGACGAATGTCCTAGTTATAATGCACTCATTAGTAAGTTTTTTCACAGGATCTTTTATTAGGGGATTGCACTCGAGCGAAAGAATTATTGAAATGGGAGCCAACTTGTGGTTTTACAGAACTTGTTAAGCTAATGGTGGATGAAGATATGAAATTACTGGAGTCCGGTAAAACTCCTGTTTAACTGAACTTCAATATGCTTTTCAATTTGGTCTGAATCTTATTTGCTTGTATGATTTTTTACTATTGTATTTCATAAAATTGTTTTCTATGAATTGTCTTCACTTCGAGTTATCCGATAAAAAAACGTTATTTCTTTCAGAAAAGAAACCACAATTAAGACTCATTATATATATGATCGATTACTGGAATCAGCCAGGTAATTTACTTGTAGATACATCATTGATTTATCGTGGAGATATGTTTTGGGACTTTTTGATGCTATCAGCCTACCATTCACTTATACCGACCAAAATTCAGTGCTGAATATCAATCACATGATAATAGGAACCATTAGGAATGAATACCATACCATTCGAACAAGTTATTGGTTCTTTAGACTCAGTAGTTTGGTGGGGAATAACATGACATTATAACTGATAGGTGCTGGGTCCGAGTAATACTGTGAGCACAAACACTGAGACAGATATATTTAGTTAGTCTCAAATACAGCGACGCGCACTTTTGAAATTCCATGTGTACTAATAACAAGTAATACTGTAATGAACAAGAACACGAGTGGGGACAATGGAATGCATTTGACACGAAATTACAGAGCATCTCACTAAAATCTGAGAACCATATAGTAAATAGTTCATTTGCAAAATATCAATCCATCGTCTCAAACTTCACTGTTCCTTTTGCAAATACCGGTCCATTGCCTCAGATTTTATTGTTCATGCACTTCCATACCAATTGCGTTCCGTTTCTTCCTTATCGATCTTCTGCTGAAATACACTCTATACCTGACCACCGTTATATACTACTTATATGGATATAAGTAACCTACACCACACTACCACTGAATAAAATGATAATGCTATAGATAGAAGCGAAAAGTTCCGGTTTATATCTGAAAGTATAGTTCCTATAATATTAAGAAAAACTAGCTTCAGTGGACATGTAATTACAGTACATGAAATCTTAAGAGAATATCATTACTTATATTTTACCACAACCTCTCAAGAGTTATTTTTAAGGTAAATAAATAGGCATGTACTTTCCAGTGTAGTTTGACTGTCCGGTTACTACAGTTCACTGTATCTCGAATGTTTTATTTAAAAATGGAAAATATCAAGAAGTATGCCGATTTATGGTATAATGGTTTAAATTACACTGATGGTTATGTTTACATCCAAACTAACTACAGTTACTAGCTACATGTCGTAACTTCTGTATATTCCTTTAAATGCAATATACAACTGCATAAGTTAAGTTCTGAGCGACTCCAACCGTAATTTAATAATGTGAAAGTTCACTATACATATTTCATTGGGTAAACGACCATGTACAAGCAGGATGCATTGGACATCTGTTATGTTTTAATATATGACTCCCTACCGGTGCGCATTTATGATTCATTTAAGCCTCGCGACCAACACCCAACCTTCAAACAACTATATTGAGATAAGAAAACTACATGGTAATTACTGACTGTGAACAGTGATTTCCTTAGTTCATACGAAGAGCCGTGATTAATGGATTCCATAATATTAGACATGAAATATATCACCTACTGTAATGGACGATTGTCATGAAATATTTTAAACTAACTGAAATAAGAAATGTAAACCATATAATACCAATTCAGTGATCTAATCGTTTTCTGTACAAAATAAATTAACAAGAGTATATGTCAAGTAAATAATTTGTATCATGAAAATATGAACATCAGTTATTGCTAATAACTAATACCATCGTTTACGCAATAAACAAAACAAACATTTCTGTTATAATAAACGTTTTAATTAGTTGTCACCGTTTATATTTGTATTTATCGTAATTGAAAAGAAAAAAAGAAAGAAATTGTAGCTGACCAAAAATAAAAAATAGAAATTTCTGATTAGAAGAGAAAAATGAATGCACATCTATTAAAATACAAAATCCATAAATTTAGTTAAAATCACATAAACATGACAATATAAAAAAGTGAAGAAAGAAACGATTAAATGTAATTAGGTTGATTACATTCAGACAATTAATAAAGTTCATGAATCAACATGCTATTTAGATGTTGCTGTTTACTTTTTGATTTTCTATCCAATTTCTTATTCTCTAATCATCATTATTTATCAAAATACATCTATAAATAGCAATACGGTCAACGAAGCACATTGTATTGATGATTGGAACATGAACAGACTGTTCATAAACATGCCTTACGCATGTGTATGTGTTAATATATGTAATTCAACATAGACTACTTATACTTTGAATTCACAATAAGAAATAAACACTCAATTGAAGTAATGGTAAATATTAACATTTGAAACAAACTGTTTTTTTAGTGGGAGAATTGTAGCTGTTCTTTTTCATTACTCAATCTAGCAAATTTAGGCTTCAAACAACCAACAATGCGTGTGAGATAAGATATGAATAACAAAAACTGTACTTTCATCATTTATCTGATGATAAACACTTTGTAATCATAGATTTTTATGACTCAGTTTATGCTTATTAATAAAGTAATGATCATTTGGTTGAATCTCACTACTGACAATAAAAATTACTGTGAAATTGTTAGCCATACATAGAAATGTGAACATAAAAAAATACTGAAGGAAGGCAACTATAATCTTGTTGCGTTAACGAAATAGTAAATAAGGCATGGACACTTGGCAAAAAACACCGTATTAATCCAAAAGGGACATACATGTATGCGCAGACACACAAATAATTAATATTGAATTCAATCAGAGAAAAAAACAACTAGATAGACGTAATACATATGTTGTTGCTCACTCATTTTTAAACTCTTATTAAGACACAAAATCAAAAATAAATCATTACAGTTCAGCTGAAGTGACCTCATGTAAACCATGAGCTAACAATGTTGGCGGTAACGTATCGGTTAGTATATTCAATTGATTCAAATAAATATCAGCTAATGATAAATCTGAACTTGGTTTAGGCAAATAGAGAAATAAAGCTGTTGTATTCGGATGACAATGAGACAGAATTAATTGGTTTAGACAGATTATTCTTCTGTTATTATTAATATTACCATCAATATTTTTCAACATTGAATTTTCTTTCATCATTGAACTATCCATATCAACCAGATGTATTTCTGCCTATAAACAAAGAATAACAGTAAGTAAGCAAAAATATGAATCTTTTTTTTCTTCAATATGAAAACTAAAGTAAATATACTACAAATTAGAATTATTGAGTGTTGATAACTGGAGATCTAATTTCTTTATTTAACCACATAAACATTGGTACAAAGGTCACCAAAAAAACATGTACACCACACAAAGTATTTATCACTCAATTTGTATGTGATTTAGGATACTTGCCGATTGCCGAAACCAAGTGAGATTCCCCGAGTATTGACATAGAAATCTAATCTACAAGACAGTGAAACAACATGAAGAGGTGCAGTCCCATGATAACTAGTGGACAACAGTCGGTTCATACACAATGAATTCCTTAAGAATCCTTGAGCCCATGTGTGTTATTGGTTTGGAATCAAAGTGCTTCGACTCCACAACGTGGATCCTTCGTATCTAATGTATAACTAACATAAGCCACTTTTTACCTTCAAAAATGACCTCTGCCAACTAATAAACTACCGATCACGTTAAGCAACAAAATGCATAACAATATTTTCGGCCGAATTTCATGTGTATAGACAAAAGTAGAATAAGACAGTATGAATAGTCAGTACCCATGGTGAACATGGGCTCGAGGATTCTGAAGGAACAAATAGCGTATGAACCAGTTGTTGGTCATCAGCTACCATGAGACTGCATCTTCTAACGTTGTGAATGAATTGTGGATTAGACCTTTATTATAACTTGTGGCCTGTGTGTCCTGTTGATGTATACGTAAAGGCATAGCCAATTGGAGAGCAGTGAATTATTGATCGGATCAATGACGCGCAAAACTCGTACGAGCAGTCTATAGTCCTTATCGGTCCTGATTCCTGCCTAGCCCAGCCAGTTAAGTCCAGAACACCAATCTCAGCCTCTGCGATATGAATCATTTATTTCAAACATACGGGGTGTATAAAGCAATCAAACAGACCACATCGTACCATAAAATAGGAAATAACATTTGTACAAGATTTGGCCAAATTTGAATATGGGAGGTAGTGAATTGATAGACAGGCAATAATTCAAGAATGGTAAATCGTAAAATAATAGTTCATAGGTCAAAATAAAGCTTATAATAAGAGGAACATGAATATGCATAGTTTAGTTATTTAACAATTATACAATAAAAATATACGCATAGTATTGGTGTATAAATGGATCCCCGAAGTTACTATTCATTATGCTCATCGGAATATAACAACCTTCAGGTCAAATGCTCGGAGTGTGGCATCCTAAGAAAACCACCTGCTTTAGTTTGGGCACCCGGATGGTATCACAAACCTCACACAAATCAATGATAACTACTACTGGTCTCGTTGTTACTGTGTGGCGCATATGTATTTGGTGCCACCTTGTATGAATGTTTATGCGTTCAAATAAATAAAGAATAATTAATAGACTATTTAGACGTGTCTAATATCAGGAGTATATAGTAGAAACTTGAAAATTTGCTGAATTGATTTTTTCAAGAAATTGAACAATAACAGTGATGTTTTTCATGATGAGAGACAATCGACCGTACTATACTATCAATTTTGTCATTTCATCTAATTATGACGAAAGTGATTGTTTATCTTAAACTAAATTTTTAATTAATTACTGTTATTGTTATTATTATCATCATTCATGTAAGTGCTTGACTTTGATACTGTTTACATATTCTGAAAAAAGTTATTATTATTATAATTTATTTTAATTTAATTCAATACAAATAAGGTTATATACAATGATTATTGTAATATACCGATAGAATCTATTGTTGATTTGTAGTTCAAACGGTTTTCTTTGTTTACTTAACAAAAACAAATTAAACGTTTATTTATTCTATTAAATCTTTCAGGTATCTTATAATTAATTTTATTATACAGGATTATTGATTTTATTGACCTGTAATAATAATAATAATAATAGTTATTATTATTTACATTTCAACCCAACTTATATGTTTGTTGTTTTAATATTAAGCTGAATTAAAAATACATTTTTAGAAGTATGAACTTTTTATAGGTTTTTTTTTAAATGAAGCTATTTTCAATTGTCAAGTAACCGTGGATGCCATGATGATATAAACAATATTTTAAATCATTTAAATGTAAAATGAAAAAAAAAAAAGAAAACGGTAGTTTAGTGTTACTTATAGATTTTATTGTTATTATTAGTTGAGAATATCAGAATAAGAATTTTACACAAGTTGTAATAATGATTTATTAAAATAAAACTTGTAAATTAAATATACTACTCAGTCAGTCAGCTACAACGTAGGACCAGGCACATATATGCATCGGTCCAAGTTGCCATACCTCATTAACACAAGATGGACACCGGATTCATAAAAGTAGTTAATTCAGAGGTGGTAATATATAAAAGAAAGAGTGCAATAAGGATATAGTACAGGAAGAAAGAATTAGTTCGTAGAGAGAAAGATATGAAGCAATTTTAATCTCTTAGTTTAAGGGAAGATAGAGAGTATATACACCGACGCCATTGTGATCGATTCTGAACCATGTCACCAAGAGTCTCCAACCATTGGTTACGATAGCCACGCGGACCCCAACCAAGTAGTCTACATCTACCAACATGGCTCAGACTAGAAGTTAGTGACTTCAAGCACTGATGCCACGTTTTGGTTTGGCCGCCCCTAACTTTCTTCCAACCATCCCGAACACCGGTTAGCATTGCACGTCGTGGTAATCGGTGTTCAGGCATACGCAAAATGTGGGCCAACCATCTCAGTCGATGAAGATTCACAACCTCATCGACTGATTCACCATCATTCCCTAATACCCTGCGTCTAACCTCACTATTACTTATCTGGTGATCCCAGCAGACGCCAGCAATATTTCTGAGGCATCCGTGGTCAAATATTAGTAGCTTACGAGTGTCTTCTACTCTTAATGGCCCTGTTTCGCTGCCGTAAATTAACACAGAACGGACTGCCGCGCAGCACACTCGTCCTTTTATTGATAGACGGATATATCGCCTTCGCCATAGGCGAGATATATATACTGCTGGGTGGTAATTTATTTGCAGAAAAGTTACAAAAGTAATAATTATCTATTTTATGAAATTATACTGATGTATTGATTTGGGATAATCATAATAATAGTAATAATAAAAGGTATATGCCATAAACAGTTCAGCTTTAGAAGAACAAAATTAACTACGCAAAGAATCTGTATACAAATAATAGAAAAATCTGTCAATAATTATTCTACTTAAAAATATATTTCAAAGATTGAAAATATCTTAATTGCTTACTTTACTTTTTAAAATACAGAAAAATTTAATTATTAGCTTACTTATACATATTAGTAAACAGATCGTTATTGGCATAATTAATGCAAACCAAACAAATTACCAGCATAAGTCAACCATACATAATAATTTATCAGGTTATTAATTTTCTACTAAAATATGTTTAACTCAAAGTCTTCTAAATGACAGAAGCAATAACCATTTACATTAAAAAAAACCCGGAGTAATATGTGTAAAATATATTTCATTTGAAATTCACTTGGTGTTGTTTTACTTGTATATCTTCTCGTTGTTACTTAGGACTGCAATCGATCAGTCTCATGTTGGCATATGTACATCCAGTGCGGATTGCCTCGATATAGCCTTAAGTCACAAGCTTTTATAAGCAAAGATGGATAGTTGCTAGCAGTGGATTTGAGGACGCTCGTTCCGTTCCATTTTTGCTTTAAAAGTTTGTGACTTATATTTCATCTTATTTGACAGAAAATTCTAAATTCATAGACAATAATTTTTAAATGATATGCTTTGACTTAAACCTGGTCACTATTTGGATTATTAATTTCGATAAATATGTGTAGAACTTGGAGAGATTAGGGATCAGTTGGAATTCATAATCAACCATGAATGTTTACGATCAGTTTTTCCCCCTATGATTAATATCCTTTTGCGCATACTATATTTCATGTATAAATTCTGTAGTAATCATCTAGCGTTGCTCTCTTAAATAGATGGAAGTATGAGAAAATATGCGAACCATCGTGGAGGTATACCTCTTAGAGTTTCTTATTGATATATCGTAGTATGCCGTAAGCATTCTATGAAAGTGTGTTAGTACGTGTGGTTATCAAATATGTTTAGTTAATCATATTAAATATATAAAAAGAAAATTTAAGATAATAAATATACATTTGGAGAGAATGTAGTCTAGAAATTTGAACAAGATGTGGTTACAGACTTCATAGCTTATTAGGTTAAATAAGATACAAAATATACTTTGAATTGAAATTTTATGAATCTCTAAAAGCTAAGTTTGATGTTGAAATAATGAATGTTATAAATTTCAATTTAATTGTTTATTATATAACTGATATAATAATAATCATTTCATAAAAAATTATCACCTTGTAATGTGTACTTTAATTTGAGCGGCTTAAATAGTCAACAGTAAAATACAGAATGATTTGTTGACCATTTTTTATAGCTATGTTGTTATTAATTATTTTTTCTTAAATTCATCGTCTTTCAATATCTTTCGATGTATCAAACAGATTAAATGGTATTCTTTAAATGCATATTTATAAAACCTAATCACTTTCAAAATGAACTTAACAAATGGAGATAGTGTTACAAGAAACTAGGAACTTTGTAGTAAGATATAAAATACAAAACCATTAAACGAATTTCTAATAAAATATTAGGTTAATATATATCCTGGAGAAAAAATCATGCTATCTATGGTCAGTAATTGGACAAGAAATTAGTTCAATTTTTAATTCCTTCCATTGTACTAGTATTACGCTCAATAAATCGATCTGAAACAATATTCTAAGAAACATATATGGTTATCATCAAAATAAATGACGCGACTGAACTTATAACGATTCACCAAAGAGTAGAATTTGAAAACTTAATGATACTACATTAAAATCATGTTACCAGAAAAGTTATGACTGCAATTCACTTGTAGATGTTAAAGTTAACAAGTATGTGAATACCAATTAACAAATATCATAAAATTGGTGATTTTGTACCATAAAATAGAAGTATGAACGTTCCATAACATTTCTGAGTCATGATATGTGGTAATGAAAGTAAAATATGGTTGGTCAATGAGTGTCGACAAACAGGCACTTAATCTGCTGACTATTATATAAAAGATTTCCTTTCCTCTAAATGATTTCTTCTCTGAATACACACTATGTGACTGCTTATAACTATGTAAAATAAAGTATTATCTAGTGCTAATCCGGTTCTCTGTTCTGGGTCATGAATCGTGGATCTGATATAACGCGACTAGTCTCATTATTATATTAACGTACCATCGAAATATAGCTGAGAGTGACAGAACAATGTTTTCAACCATCCGTTACATCAAGTTAAATATATCAAAAACTAGAAAATGCAAAACAAATCAAATTACAAACACTTCGGTCAACCGTTTCAGAAAAAAAAACAATTTGTCAGATCATATAAACTGCTTATCCATTACTGAACCAGAAGGGTTAAACGCAAAACCACTCAAATCAGTTTTCAAAAAAATCATAACATCAGGACACTGAATGAAGCGATTAGCTCGAAATACATTATAAGGTACAAACTGTTCGTGTTGAACTAAAAATACTTCACAATAATTACTTATAAAACAACTTGTTGACTTACAGGAATTCTTAAATTTTTCAACAAAGTTGATAATTGAGAACGTGCTTTGTCAGTTACCGTAACAACCTCTCCATTAGGTGGATTCATTGTACGTAACTGTGGAAAAAATGCACGTAGTTTTGGTGGATGACGACGTTTACGCCAATAGGGTGATCTAGCGACTAAACAGGCAAGTTGTAAGAGGAATAGACCAGTACGATCAATCACTTGCTTGTAAATTTCTTCGTGTGATGAAGATGATGGTAGATTTAAATTCTCACCATAAAATCCAAGAAGATCAATTGGCCATATATCAAAGAATATAACTTTTGAAGTGTCTACTATATATGGATTAATCTCAGACATTGAATTAGTAACATCCATCACTGTACCTGCATTATAACCATTATTATAATTTGAATTTAACCGTTGTGAACGGTTATTTGTATGAAAAATATTACGGAAATAGCGTCGAGTTGCATCCCAACCAGACATACCTTCATCAAAAATTACTCTGTCGAAATTTCGAGCAAGTACAACATTGGTCTAAAAAATTAGGTAAAAAGGAAACAGAAGATATGGATATGTTAACACATAAAATCTATTTGTTGTAGTTATATATAGATAATAGTAGTCGTTAGCAAACTCAATGATTCTAGTTCATAACAATGTTTCATATGAAAACGGATCACGACCGTTCAAGGTTAGGTATATTAGAAATATAATTCCAATGACCTGTATTTTTTGAAACATTCATGTGAAAATAGACTTGAAAAAGATTATTAATCTGGTGTATAAATACTAAGGCTAAATAAATGAATACCATAAAGTAGAATAGTCATCTATTTCACCGAAGTATACTTCATGGGATCTTATCATAATACTGTATGATATATTCAAAGATGAATTTCAACAGAATAGTGAAAAGGAAGGTCAAGAAACAACAGATGAGGTTAGCATGTTTTTCCTTATCATGCCAAACTAAGAAAGTACTTATAAACCACATCTTCAACTACTAAAAAATGGCAAACAAACAATGTTGACTGAAAATCATCTGTATGCATCTACAAAATTACCGAATTTTTAAGAATATGCACTAATCAAAATATATATTGGACACAGATTTCAACCATTAAAAAACGAAATCGTAGAGCAAATCAAACTTCTATATAAATTATCTAAATATTATCCAGTCACAGTGTATATTGATATACTAAACATTTTAGAATGAGTAATTGATGAAGGTGAGAGAAATAATTATTCTATAGTCAACTTTACACATCGTTTTGATTTCATATGATGACAGATAAGTGAGATGGGCTGTTACTCGCTCAAATCACTATTTCAGTAAGGCGCAAACACATATTTTCAGGTAAAAGGCTTAAATTAAAGTTCACTCAATACTTTCAAACTATAGTCAGTGCTAATAATGAATCTGTGAACATAAATGTACGGGCGACATGAAACTTTATTTAATCAATCTACAATACTATTTGAAAACTAAAAACTCCCTAGACAAATACAAAAAATAATCTAATACATGGTTGGAATAAAAATAAACAATATATATATATATATATATATATATATTAATAAGTAAATGGTATTATTACTAATTTAAATGTCAAATCGCCGTGAACTGTTATGTGTTTAGCTACTTAGATAATTCAGTAGTATAGAGTTTATTTAAAAAGAAAATAAAACAACTATTGACAAAAAGATAAGTTACCTCCATATTGAGAATTTCTCGAATAATGCTGACATATTCCTGCGAGGTAAGACGACCAGGACGATGGTCACCATAAAATTGAATATCTGTATTATTCTGATTGACAAAAATAGAATTTGAATCCTGATTCGGAACTGAACCGAAATTAGCTAATAGTTCACTGCTGCTTAAATAAGCTAAAAAAAAGTTTCATTCGAAAGACATAAAAATAACAACCGTTTATTCAGTAAAAGATGAATAGCTGAGTAAAAAATTGTGAAAAGCACATCTGTATAATCTTAGCCTAATGTACGTGCTTTACAGGATTGTGAAGATTACGATTATTTGAAGACAGATTTCACGACATGCAAATCATTGAACATATCAATGTTAAGTCAGTCAGTAACAACGTAGAACTTCGTACGTACGTACATCAGTTCGAGTTGCCACACCACATTAGCACAGAGATGCAGTGGTCGATTCAAATCCCGTAGTGGTAGAGGTAATAAGAGTATAAGCAGTAATCGGGAAGATTAGTGTTTGGAGATGTTACTTAAAGAGTATAATACAGTGAAATAAATTTGAGAGGAGAAGAAAAAGAGACAAGGAGGAATAAGGAGATCAAAATTTGGGAGAACACAAAGAGTGTATGCACCTGCGCCATTGCAAACGATTTTGAGCCATGTCATTCAGGGTCTCTAACCATCGGTTGCTATCATCTCGCGGTCCCCAACCAGGTAGTCTACACCTACCAACATGACTCAGTCCACTTGTCAGTGACTTCATGGACTTGTGCCATGTTTTGGTCTGGCCGCCCCTAGCTTTCTTCCAACCTACTCCTATACCACTGAACATAGCACGTCGAGGCAGTCGGTCGTTGGGCATACGTAACACGTGTCCCAGCCATCTCAACTGATGAAGTTTCACTACTTCATCAATTGATTTGCCATCCTTACCTAGTACCCGTTTCCTAACAACTGTGTTACTTACTCGATGGTCCCAGGATATACGAGCAATATTTCGAAGACACCTATGATCAAATACTAGTAACCTACGAATATCCTCTACTCTTACCGGCCATGTTTCACTGCCATAAAGTAGGACGGAACGAACTGCTGCGCAGTAAACACGTCCTTTGGTTGATAGACGGATATCTCGCCTACGCCATAAATGACGCAAGTTGGCAAAAGCTAGTCGAGCCTTCTGTATCCGTGCTGAGATTTCGTCACACACCAGACCACAAGGGCTGATGAGACTTCCAAGATAAGTGAAGCGGTCGACACGCTCAATTACTTCACTCCCTATCATTAGTTCGGGTGTCGATGTAACCCAATCCTGAAGCAACATTTTGCATTTCGAGGGGAGAATCGCATCCCGAACATGCTTGCATTGTTGCTTAGAGTGGTCAGAAGACTCTGCATTTTGTCAGCGTCTTCACCAAATAAAACTATGTCATCAGCATATTCTAAGTCAACAAGTGAACCTCCCGGTAGAAGTTCAACCCCTGGAAATTTAGATGAGGAGAGTGTTATCTCTAAAAGTACGTCAATGACAAAGTTGAACAAGAATGGGGAGAGTGGACAGCCCTGACGAACACCACTTGAGGTAATCAATTCTGATGACAGTTCGCCATAAGCTCTCACTCTACCAGTTGTGTTCGAGTAGAGAGCCTTTATAAGGTTAATGTACTTCTTTCAGTGACAAACACTGCCATAGAACCTCACGATCAACAGAGTCGAATGCCGCCTTAAGGTCGAGAAATACTACCATTGTGGGGCGTCTGAATGTGTGTCTGTGTTCTAGAACCTGACGTAGTGTGAATATCTGATCTATACAACCACGTCCAGGTCGAAAACCAGCCTGGTTTTCTCTAGTCTGCTCTTCACGAGCTTTGTTAGGCGTCGAAGTATTATTGAAGCTAATATTTTAGACACTATATTAGTCAAACTGATTCCTCTGTGATTGTCACAAGAGGACTTTTGTCCTTTCTTAAAACTGGCACAATCAGTGATTGAGACCAGTCAGATGGGATTACGTCCAGTTCCCAAATTCTACCTAAGACCTCAGTTAATCTCACTGCTAATACTGGACCACCATCCTTAAAAATCTCAGGAGTAAACCTGTCAGGGCCTGCTGCTCTCCCTCGTTTCAGATTTCCTATGGCTTTTTCAACTTCGTAAAGACGGAGGACCTACATTAACTTGCCATTCAGGTTGACTGGAGATCGTGGGAAACCGAAGTGTGGCTGAAGGCCAGTTGAACTGATCCCTAAAGTGTTCTGCCCATCGATCCAATCTCCTGGATTGAGAATGTATAATATGTCCATCTTTCTCTGAGATTGTTTCGCTAACAGTCGGTTTCCTAATACCGGTTTCCTTAACAAGTCTGAACAATTGTCTGCTATTACCTATTGCCGCTGCCTTTTCCATCTCTCTTGCTTTCGCTACCCACCACTGTTCACGATCATTGCGTAGACTTCTTGTCAGCTTGCGCTTAAGCTGACTCCGCTCTTCATTATGTTCAGAGCCAGGTGGAATGAGTTTCCGAGCATCTATCAGTGCGATAGATGCTGCTGAGATCCAGTGTTGCTCCCTAACCTTACGGTTTACCTTACTAGCAGATATCACTGCTGTTTCCACAGCTTTTCGGATATCATTCCATGCTGCCTCGGGGTGGGCATCACATACATGGCTGCCTAACTGTTTTCCTAGTTGTTCCTGAAATATACTCTTAGCTTGACTATCATTAAGTAGGCCCTAAGAGGTTTCCTTGCAGCGTCTTTCCTACGTCCAGTAAGACGCAGGCAATACGCGCTCGCACTAGAGCATGATCTGAATCTAGCATGTGCTCCAGAATGAGCGACAGTCTTCTATCGAGCCCCTCCATCGGTGGCTGATAGCGATGTGATCTATTTGGGTCCAACGTTGGGACGAATTAGGGGGTCGCCATGTTAAAAGATGTTTTTCCTTATGCTTAAAGTTAGTATTTGCAAGGAACAGGCGGTTATCTGAGCATAGCTGCAACAGACGGTCGCCATTATCTGTTCTTTGAGCCACGACCCATAAGATCCACCTAGGTGTCTTTCCCTATCGCTTAGTTTACCTACTTGAGCATTAAAGTCACCGGCCATTATTACTACATCCGAGCGCCTAGCTTTTCGGAGAAGGTCGAAGAGCTTTCTGTAAAACTCATCTTTTACATCATCTGAGCTGCAGTCAGTGGGAGAATAGGCAGAGACGACGAAGAGGCAACGACGAGTGTCCCTATCTTTCCGGATCCTTACTGTTCCGTTCAGTCGGACAGCGCACAAACGACTGTCTACTGGGATCCACTCTAAGAGAGCTAGTTCTGCCCTAGGACTCAATGCTATACCTACGCCGGCGAGGCCACGGGAAGCAGAATCAGGGCTTCCAGATACACGAAGCGTGAATCGAGTCGGTTCTTTATTTTGGCATGGTGAGGTCAAATGAATGACGCTACTCGGATCCTGTATGCGCGTTTCGGAGACGCAGCACACATCGATGGCGCGGGATTCTAAAGTCCTAGCTAAGGAAGCCTGTTGTCCTATTTGGCACAGTGTTCGTACGTTAAAAGCTCCTACGTGTAGTTTAGAGCGTGGTTTTTTCAAAGGGCCTTACCGCCGGAGACGGAAATCCGTGAGGTAAGGTGAGGTGTGACATTTTTAGGGTCAACCTTTTCTAACCCCACCCCTCCTTGTGGGAAGGCAGCATCGCTGCAGATGCTGGTTGTCCGAGGGAATCACCTTACTGCTGTCACACCCCTCTACAGTCAGCAGTACGACTTCGCCCTCAGACCTTGAGTTGCTGCTTTTAGTCTTACCGTTCTCCAATCGACCTGCCTGGCATGGTAGAACCTACAGGAACATATGTTCCAGCCAATATAGCTCGGTTGGGTCATCACGATAGGCAAGCCCAACCACCGCGTCAAGGTAGCAGCTTCGGTCGGGATATCAATGTTAAATCGCCATTGGAAACCTGGATTCACAACACAGCTTTTTCGTCCTAGTATCGGACTTCTCAGCAGTGCGAATGCAAGATCCCGCAAGCAAGAATTTAACCTAACACCTCAAAAACCGGGCAGAAACACCTAGCTTCTGGACCATTGTTCTGGGACTCGACGGTGTTAATATCTAGCTGCAATCAGTCGACGATATTGCCGGACTATTTTCCATTGTCTTCGGTAGATAACTCCCTCACACCTGACACGCTTGAACTCCACTGATCACCGCTTCTTACTAGAACACCCTGAGATTTAATCTCAAAGCTAGTCACTAGTGATCACATGAGGAGCGTCATACTAGGACGAAACGGTCGCCCCGCGCTTCCACATTTTCAATGGTGGTCTAATTTTGACTGGTTCATGATTCCAATGACACTCAACAGCCCAATACTGACATCATGTAAATCAGTTGGTTATACGTTGTCAGAGTTCCACTGTTTTTGATGGCTGAGTACGATCAAATTCGTGACAAAAGCCGTTTTCTAATGAATTATTGAACTCAGATATATTTACAGAAAATCATTCAAACCACTGACTCAAAATAATTCTCTAACATCTGCAATAATAGTTCTTGTATTTTAGTTAACACCTAATATTAATTAGTGTTAAAAAGGAGCGATAGAGATAAGCTTAAACAAAACAGAAAGGGAAATTTTGAAATCGCTAGTACTAATAAAGTAGTAAACGAAGACTTGATGGGAGAAACCAATCTATGGTATCATGCAAAATTAAACAGTCCCTTCATAAAATCTGAAAACGATCGATTGAATAGATTATTTCCACATTTCTCTTCACTTCATCGTTTTTCCAATTGCTCTCTGTTCCCGTTTCTGTTTTTCTCTACTTAAACTTATGTTGGCAAGCATTCCACTTCCGATTTCAGTTACACACGACTTATATCTATCAGCATAAGTAGCATACACCACACTACTACAACTACTGCAAAAGTTATCAGATTTAACTGGCATTTTTCTCTAAAAATGGCGCACGGGGTATTAGGGTTTCACGGACCTGAAAGTAGGCTTTGTGGGAGTTTTGTTCGTGAAAAGAAGTTACGCAAACTGATATTTGTGGAATCCATTTTTAATCGACTGATAAGCATCAAAGACGTAACGAACTTTGCGTTTATAGAAATTTCGAGAGGTTTCATTAGAAATAATATCACTTTAATGAAAAACTTGAAATTTTAAGCGGTTCCCTTAGAAAATGGAGATGTACGAAAGATAAATAACTACTTTCCTACAACTACACAAACTAAAGAAACACCTTATTTCTCAAACAAACATAAAACGTAGCAATACATATTTAAGCATATTATCTCACCATTTGTCGTTTGGGCATCATTATTATTAATGATTAATTCCGTGGAATTATATGAATGAATATGATTTGGCCATGAACTGAATTTTTTTACTTTACGTTCTTTCCAAATCCTAGCTAAAACATCCTGTAAGAGAAAATACTGATCAATAATCTACATGAAATATCACAATAAGAAAGGTGATCAGTTTTTATACGTAATAAATTGGAAAATTATTCGTTACTTAGGAAACTGACCATCCAAGACAATGAAAATTTATTCAGTCATCGCTGAACTACGCTGTATTTGTAAAAGAGGACTACGAAACAAATCAAAGCCGAGGCAGGTGTCATGATTTTTAAACCTGTAACCTGGTGATTAACTAACTGATTAAGTATTTTAATTACTAAATTCACTACGTAAACGAATGTTGATGAAGTAATCTAATAAAGAAAATGTTAGAAGTATCACAAGATATCTCGACTGATCATGCCTTGACATATTGTCATCTAAAGGATTCCAAACAGATAATTTGAGATCTATTAATATTTCACTACTAAGACATACCAAATATGGTCAGTTATATGCAGTGCAGAATCTGATGTATCTGCACATCGGTCCAAGTTGCTGAATTCCATTACATAGCGAGATCAAACAGTCCAGAAATATTCCGGGGTACTAGGGATAGTAACACTTATAGTAGTAGTAAAAATGAATTGGCATATTTAACTGCTAACAGACCACTCATCATTAATCAAACTAGTAAAAACCATGCTGAATATCATTTTTTTTTTTTGCACAAATATGAACAAATTATCTGAAATAATACTGTAAAAAGTGCCATACCAATAAATAATAAGTTATAAGACATGAAGAATGAATGAAGCAGAAAAAAATGATACTTACGATTGACGGCTTATCATCATAAAATCCCAAACACACTGTATTTGGACGCATTGCACCTAAACCAGAAATTCGAATAAGATGTGATATCGCTCTGCGTACACTTCGGTCAATTGTTATTTCTACAAATGCTTTAGTTTTCAAATATTTCACATATTGTGTCCAATACCTGTACGTAAAAATGACACAATTTAACAAACCATTTAAATTATAACTTAAAATGTTCAAACAATATAAATATGACTGTTGATTATCTTTGGAAAAAAATATCAACAACGTCATGATAAATACAGAAATCATATTTATGATGGAGAGACAAAATTCACCGAATAATCATTAAACTGTGGTGTGCACTAATTGTGTGGACAGACATAAGTGGTATGTAACAATAGAAGTAGAATGCTTACCAGAAGAAGAGTGAAATAAAAAGAAGAGAAAACGAATAGCAACCAGAATAAAAAACAGGATCGGAAGAATGACTAAATGTGTAAGAAAAAAACTGAAGGAAGATATACGAATGATCTATCGAATGCATGATCTGCATATTTTACAAAACTACTGTTTGATTTTGTGTCAAACAATAAGTTGGTTTACTGTACCTGAGTTTTTTTAATTCAATACAAAGCTATACACACTAGGCATCAATTTAAATTTTTATCGAGAATCAAAATTATAGGCTATTAATTCTGATGGAAGCACTCTAAAGAAATAAATGGGACTACTCATATGTACTAAAAAGACAATAAATTAGTTAGCAATGGAATACAGGATGAACGTTTCGTCCGATTTGGGACTCGGTATCTGGATGATCCTGCATCCCAGAGTTGATGTTCACTTCAGAAAACGAAACCAGAAACGTCCGCTTCAAACGATAACGTGGTATCTAGTTTTAGCTACTGAGTTCAGATATACACTCACTCGTGAAACGGCTATGAGATTTAAATTAATTTGAAACGACTTGAATCTTCACGTTATTGATATTTTTATCGAAATTTGATTTGCATTGGTTGGCATATGGAGATCATATGCGGCTTGCTTCGATATAGCCATTACCGAACAACGTAATATAAAATAGATAGATTCGGGTGAAATCTAACTCTGGGAGGTTAGCATATTCCGACGACTAAACCCATGACGAAATGTACGTCCTAGATCCCAATACAAGCAACATTCCATCTATTCTATCCCAACTTGTAACATAATGGATCCACCGAGGCAATCGTCACAGGATACCCGTATACCGACCAATGCGGACGAAATTCCAACCACAACATCAACAATGGAACTATTCAAATCATTTTAAACCGAATTATTTAGTCCAAAAATGATAATGCAATAAGGAATAACTTCGCAACTAACACCAAAGTCAGAACCTTCAATACGAACGTCAAGACAGTCGTACTGTACAGAGCTGAAACTTCGAGAACTACTACAACGATTATTAAAAAAGTACGAGAATTTATAAACACATGTTTACGTAGGATACTCAGTGTCCGTTGACCGGATACCATCAGCAACAGCCTTATGTGGGAGAGAAAAAACCAGCTTGCAACTGAAGAGGAAGCTATGAGAAGAAATTGGAGGTGGATAGAACATACATTACAGAAATCATGACGCTGACAAGCGCTATCTTGGAATCCGGAAAGGAAACGGGAAAGAGGAAAGCCAAAGAACACATTGCTCTGGGAACTGCGAGTAGACATCAAAAGAATGGATAGTACTTGGAAACAACTGGAAAGGATTGCCTAGGAAAGAGTTGGATGGGGAATAATGGTGGGTGACCTATGCTTCTCCACGAGGAGTAACAAGCATGAGCAAGTAATAAATTTAAAAAGTGATATGTGTGATCATTTCAGAAGTTGCATCAAAGTTAAGACCTTTGAAATTTATTTCAGTTTATGTAATACACTTTCTTGCTCCATTATAAGCTCACTTACCAACGCTGATTTAGACATGGATCCGATTGGTCGACGAACTCATCTGGATCACCACAAATTGCATGACCAACTACATAAAGACCACCTTTTTTCAAACTATTCATAAATTGAACAAGTGAGGCTGACGAACGTGGATTTGCAACAAGTAACAGTAATTGGAGTCTCCAGTATTTAACATGATCTTTACGGGAATCCAACAATAATAAATATTTACGGATCTATAAAAATAAATTTTATGAGTACTACAAGCTGAATCATCATTTAAAAAAGGGAAAGAAAAGCGGCGGTGATTATATGATTTATGAACTGACCTCAACTAGAAAAGCTTATTGCATAACGCCTAACTGATAAGAAATCAATGAAGAAACAACGCGGTTAACTGGATAATACTAGTAAATAAGCTTTTACAAATACAGTTAGGAAATTATGGTAGCTGTTTGTGTTATTGCTATTAAAAAATTCGGTAAATTCTTCTCTTTTGCTTTGCTTTTGTCCCTGATGTGTTAATAACTATTGGGTGTTGCGTTTTAATCAACTAGAAGAGTACATTTGAACATATGATATTCATACATTGTAAATGTTTCGAAACCAAATAGATTGATTCAGTGAATACTTTTTTTTAACCCAATTATAATAAAACGAGCTAGACATTAACACTGTTAGATGCCGACTCAGTGGTCTAGAGGATAAGCGTTCGCGCAAAACAGGTCCTGTATTGAAATCCCACATATGGGATCGTAGATGAACACTTGAGAAGTCCCATATAGAGACAAAAAGACCATTCAGTGCATCAAAGTTTTCGATGGTGGTCTAACATCGACGAGTTCATGATCATAATAAAAGCTTAATAATATCCACAACCCTATACTGATAATAAAACAAATCACTGATAATTGTTGTGGGAGAACACTATAAAACGTAATATTTATGTAGTCATATTTTACAGAATTTCCTCAATACAAAAACACACAGTTTCTAATAATTAATCTATAAGACATCATACTACAAATTCATGAAGCGAATATTGAATGCTCTATAAATTGACTGACTGTTCAAAAGGTTACAGAATTAAACTGACATACTCAATCCATAAAATACTTATAAACTTAGAAAGATATGCAAACAAAAAATTTCATTTTCACTAAATTAAAATCGAATGATCTTTTTTAACATTAAAAACATTTACTTGATGAAATAGAAGCGCTTGTCCAATATTACCCCATGACGATTCTAAATGCCGCTGATATAATGAAAATACGAGTAGACCTAAAACAATTATTGCGACTACCGTATAAATTGGTTGAATTAATAAACACATAATGAAACAACCAATCATTCCAAAAATTGAAGTGATCCAGTTAAAATAACGAAATGTTGGTCTGACAAAGTGAAATGTAAACAAAACAAAAAGACAATACGATAATTGGTATGGAAAATTACACATACTGACGAAATGAATCTATTTCATTTTCTCATGAAATTTAAATACAATTTTTAGATGAAAATATTTTATTTTTTGCCAAGTAATTCGGTGCAGATAAATGATGTTTCTTTCTTCGCAATATTAGATCTATTCTTAACATAAAATCATTTCCCAGACAATTTTATAACTAGTTTTCCGTATTAATCACTGAAAGAACTTAAAAGATTACATCTTTATCGAAACTATTTTTAGAATCATAAGACTAAGATAAAACATTTTCAACTTGTTAGGTATTTATTATAGGCTTGCAGAGCGATCACGGTTGTAAATTGATTCCACTTTATATTTGCAGGTAACAAATTAAATGAACACACATTAATACTCTAGTGAACAGAGGACAGGTGGGGGCAATCGAATGTGTTTAACACAAAACTACAGGACTTGTTAATAAAATCTAACAATCATAAAGTAAATGCTTAGTTCGCAAAATGTCCATCGATTGTCTCAAAATGACTCAGACTTCATTGTTCTTGAATTTTCATACAAATTGCATTTTATTCCCATTCATTAATGTTCGGTCCTCTTGTCTCTCTGCTGTCAGACATTCTGTTCCTGACTAACGTCATATACTATGTCGATATAAGTAGCACACACCACAATACCAATACCATAAACTACATTCACTACCTCGAAATCGGTATTATAGATTGACATAATTCTCATCATAATCGAGTCGATTAAAATGTTATGAAGAATGTAGATCACCATTGAGAAATATATTAATGCATAGTTATTTGACAAAATGTAAAGCAAAATGAAAATGTTTTTATTTTTATTCAGTTCATAAATTCCGAATCAATATTTCTTGTATATTAGTAATTATTATGAAGGTATCACAGAAGTTCTTCGGTTACACTAAAGAAAATCTATTTTTTCTCAAATTCCACAGCAAAAAGAGACTTTAATTATGATTAGTTAAAAGATATGTTGAATTTTGGATCAACAAATGCTTTTTGGTGATTCAAGAATCACAATATTAATCTTTTAACGAATAGCTGACACGTTTAAAGCACGTTTCATCTATTTCAGTTTAGGCAATTAGATAGTATCGTTAGCTCTCACATCTGGATTGTGATTCTAAGTTGAATAAATCAACTTGTATTTGTTGAATATCAATTTTAATATATGACATCTGGAAAATATGAAACAGTGAAATAATGGTGCAGATACCTGCAGGCTATAATCCCATTTTATTACAGAGAATCATGTGGTAACCATTAGGCCTCATGGGAAGTTTCTCAAACTTAAATACATAAATCTGTACTTGATAAATGTAATATTGACTAAAATTATCAAGAGTATATTGTATGGTGTCCTGTAAATCAAATAAATATGCAATATCGGAGGAAACTATCAATTACATCAGTTATTTTGCGAAAATAAACTTTAAGTCTAAGTTTCAAATCACAAACGCAACGGTTAACATAAAGTGATGTTAAAATCATGATAAAACTTAAACAGAACACTATACTTTAACAGATTAACCTGAAATTTGGTGGTGAGGCAGCATCTAAACCAGCACAGGCCAAATTCACAGAAGCATAAGCCAGTAAAAATAGAACAGATACAAGTGGAGCGATAGCATTTAATCTACCAATCAGTAAAATTAACTATATTTTCACCAAACAAAAACAAGAACAAACAAATAGTGTATATCATAATTGATTTCTGATAAAATTCAGAAGAAATAAACAAGTGAATAATAATAAACAATAGGAATCAAAATCATCCTTAAGTGAAAAATTGTTATTTAAATAATTAAAAAAGTAATCTATTCCAAATTACTTATTAAATTAAGTAGGGAACATTATTCATAAGAAAACTAAGATTGTCAGAATTATGTGATTTATCAGAGTAATAAATTTCAAAAACTCTGATCCCAAACTCTATCGACATAGTGGGAAACAACTCATAAGATTGACCATAACTTGGCTTTTGTAGTGTTGTACAAAATTGTTAAAGGGCATTTACTGAAGCCTTGACCATACGAAAATTCAAACCCCCTTTATACATTCAAAAACACTTTGTTCTCACCTTAAACCTACTCTGCTAATGTTAGTTTATTATCCAGAGTGATGTTTCATATTATTTTCTTTATTATCTTTGTCTCCTCCTCCCTCCCATTTCTAGTCTAACTGACTTCCTATTTTTATGTATAAATGTTCTTAACGTGTGTATGTGATCAGATTGTTCGAAGTGCATTGCACAAATATGTATAATCCTTGTCTTCTTATTACACTAACCAAATTTATCAAAGGGACTAATTGCTTTATTCATGTTGAGGTAGTTCAAAACATAACCTGTATGATAAATTTATTAGAGATCCAATTGAAGTCACTTGTATTGATTTAACAGAACCTTAAAGACGATCCTAACATTTTTAACCAGTATTAAGGCTTAAAGTCATAAAAAAAACATTAAAAAATAAATAGGAAATTCATATCATATTGTTGATATATTTCTTGTAATGATGAACTTTGTACAAAAATCATATTCGCTTAGTTTCAGTTTTAATGTTAACGATAAGAAAAATTAAATAATTATTTTCGAAATCTACTTTGATGTTTATAAATGGCTGTCAATAAAATACTGTATATGTACAACAGAATAGGAATTTCTATTATTTGATTGATTGATTTTAAACTGGTACCATTTACCGACATAGCCCTCTCATCGTTCTTAATGTTACTTATCTTTCTTTTAAGTAAATACTCAATTCAAAAGTATTACTTCTGAATAGATAATCGAAACTAGAGTCCCAACCATCAAAGACAAATATTTCTTTACATATTTGAAGTACAGACTATGCTATTAAGATATTCATGCCCAAATAGGCTCTAATAAAACTAAACAGAGAACATTAATGAACCATGTAATGCCAAATAATGATACGATACAAGAAAAAAACTACCAAGAACACAATAAAACGTCAATCAAAACTGAATACATTTTCTGTGTGATTCAATGAATGAAAAAAAGAAATATAGCAAGCTAATATTTCTTATGTATTCCCCATTTGAAGAGAAATTATTTCAATAAGTGTTCGTGAAGTACATACTTGGTTTCCTTAAATAAAATTACTGGTGACAGAGCCTGATTAAAGAAAGTACTTATTATTTACAAGTAAAATATGTATTAAGATTATCGAAAAAATCTCAATTACCTACCATTTGAAGTTATTGGTATAATCGTATTGAACAATATCGTAAAAACTTTAGAAACCTAACCAATGTGTTACAAAGTCTTGTAACGTTTAAAAAAGATAAACAGATTCAGTATACACTTTACAGAAAGAATAAACGGATAGTATAAGCCAAAGTATGGTAAAAAAATTCTAGAAATTCATAAGAAAACAACTAGTGCCTTATAATTACAAATACTAATAAACATCTACTTTCAACAATTCACAAATGAATAAACAGTGCAGAATAATCAACTAACTCACCAAACAAAGAAACCCAGCAGAAAGGACTGCCACTATCGGATTTCCACGTTTTGTCGTCCATTTTGCTGGATGGAGAAGTCGACCTATTCAAAGCAAAAAGTCAATTATTATACTACATAATCGGCATTTATTATGTGGTAATATTTTTTCCGACTGACTTCTGGATCTTGGAACCTTGAATGAAATATGACTTTTAAAAATATACTGAAATATTATTGAAAAAAGGCATTAAAATAAAGAAGGCTATGCGTAATGCAGGCCAATAACAAACTTTTCATCGATAAGAGATAATATCTCATCGAAAACTATTGACTCACTTCATTCTATTTGTTGCCAAACAATAGAGTGGGATAGTTGAATCAACATACATGAACATGATCTCAAGAGATAGCAGTTAAATGAAGACATAAATAAGCAAGTAGTAAAACAATATATTATTGATAAGATTTAATATTTGCAACGATTTATCAAGATTTCACTGACTATATATAAAAGAAAATAGAAAAGTTGGAATTCCTACAGTGACAAAAGTTAAACACAGACAATTGTTTGAGTTGATAGGGTTAGCCTCATACAAATTGTTGGCAATTTGGTTTGTAATAAGAATAATTAGCTAGCATGAATTGATATAAAATATTATACTGTGAAGTTTATTTTGTTTTAGATCTTTATAAAGGTTTAGGACAAGACGAATTTTCATTTTAACAAAGTAAGTTTGATCTAACCATCTGTACAGTTTCATGTACTTGACTTTGAGCTGCGCTTCATATGTAAAAACGGAAAACATTACACGGTTGCCAAAACGAGGTCCCGACATTCCATATAAGCATTTATCAATAGCTTTGAAGAAAAACTAGTAACATTTCAATATATAATATATTTGTAATATCCCAGTGAGTAGAAAAATTAGATTTTCTGACATTTCGTGACTTAGTGTAAGTCACTTCTTCAAAGAATAAATAACCCAATTAAAATTAATCCAAGTTTAAATAGTACGAAACAATAAGAATCTGAAGTGGCTTACATTAAGTCACGAAACGTTAGAAAATCTAATTTTTCTACTCATTGTGATATTAAAAATATATTATTTATTTATAACAATCTACCCGATGCTCAATTTATTCGAAATTATCAAATCAAACCTTGGGAATGATACCTACAGCAACATTTCATTACATAATACAATATAAAGCGTAATTGATTAGTAAAAATTACCAAATAATTCATCACGAGCTATCGCCTCCAATATACGTGAAGCTCCAATAAGATTGCCTAAAGCTGCTGATAATGTAGTGGCAAAAACACCTATTACAACGATTGGTTGCCAAAAACTAATTGATTGCATAAATATATTGTTATTTAATAACAGATATCTATGACATGATAAAAAAAGATATAACAAGAGCAAATATGAAAAATGATGCTAGAGACATCCACAAATCAATCAAATAATCAAAGTTGCATCGTTAAATCTAAAGAAAAACAAATAGTATGTTTATGGCACTTTTTAATGAGAAAAAAAATATATTAAAAAAAAAACTATAGCATGTATCTTTGATCGAACTTAGATACACTTTAAACGGATGAACTAAAATATTCTCGCCTAATATAATGACATTTTAGTACTTAGCAAAGAAACATAGAGAATAATTAAGTAATCTGATTACAAATAATATAATTCTTTATTAATGAATATTTCAATTCTTAAAGTAATGAACATAATAGTAATTTCAACTAACTACATTTATTACTTTGTATGATGATGAGGAGAAAGCAATGAAATTGAATGAATTGATTGTATTCAGTATTAAAAAAATTATTGCCCTTGCTTTGTTACACGATACATGATCAGTAATAACAGAAATATAAACAGATTTCTAAACCCTGATTGTTTTTATCGATTAAGATCTTACTGAGAAAGTTAAATCACTAGTTAACAGTTTACAAAATGAATCATAATACTCGAAAATTATGAAAATATTCACATATATCTTGGTTCTCTAAAATATTATCATGTATTCCTTATGTGGTATGTGCTACTGATGTCGACAGATATAAATATTGTCAGTGTTCTCGATCACTACACTTGTAATTACTCATTAGTAGTTCAACACGTTGATATAAAAAAGAATAATACAAAGATCGAGAACTTTTAAAATATGAAGTCAGTTATTTCCAGTGAGAAATAATCACGGTACTATATCTGAAAATTATGAGCAGAGTATAATCATATTGAATAGAAATATTCTAAAACTGAATACATGTGTTTACACTAATATATATGTATGAACGAAGAATATTCTTTTTACTAATATCTCATCAGGTTCTACAATTATAAATCCAAATTAATAATCCATAAAGTTGGCCAGATTTAAGGCAGACTACATCATTTAAAATTGTAACTCGTGAATTAAGGATTGTTCTACTTACAAGGAGAAAAGACGGGTCATTAAGAAGAAACGTAAACAAGAAAACTACTTGGACAGGCCAATATACAAATTTTCTTACTTTTGTTCAGATCAATGCAAAGGACTTTTAATGCAGGTAAACTACAATTAATGTCTTGCACACGTCCAATGATCACTCCGAGTTCGAAAGATAAATTGCCTATACTAGCCACTTTTCTGTATCTATCAATTCAACTGCTCTTGTGGAGCAGATTTTCTAGGAATTTGTCTATTCAGGCTTGTTAGCACCTCCCAGTGTGGTTAAGCAAAGGTGTAGTTAAAACGGTTAACAGCTCCATTTTAGTCCACTGAATTCAGACGGGACATAAAACCATCAATCTTTCGCAATAATAAATCGTGTCAACAGCAATATACCTAATTCCGTCAGACCAAGAATCCTGCGGACGGCTGAAGCAATTGCTATTCGGATCAAAAAGCCAGAGCTTTGCATCCAAAGGAAATACATTCAGCCGCTCCTTTTAGCCTGGCCAACTAATTAATAATCAGTTTTATAATATGGTGATGTGATTTGATTAATGTTCATTTTTATGTCCCAAACTTATTTTATCCACGCATCTTATCATTGTCATTATTATTATTATTATTACCCTTGATAACCGTTTTGAGAAATTTATTTAGCATCCACCCCTACCTACTATACCTGACCTAAGACATATTATTCTACATATTAAGTAATCTCTCTTTCAGCTCATGTTGACCATATTTATTCTGATCATTTATTTCACAATTTCATTTCGCTCGTAAATTGATTCAAGTTAACATTTCATACTAGTCATCCCAACATTAACGATTTGATTTTACATAACAAATAAGAATTCTTGATTACCATGTTACAATTTTAAATGATGTACTCTGCCTTAAATCTGGCCAACTTCATGGATTATTAATTTGGATTTATAATTGTAGAACCTGATGAGATATTATTGAAAAGAATATTATTTGTTCATATAATTGTGTTTTAATATAGTGGGAATTTTTCAGTGATTAAAATATATATGTATAGATAAAGAGATAGATACATCAAACCATTTATCACCATGAAACATATGATGTTATGTAAGTTGACTACAAATTGAATTGAACCAATAACTTAACATCTAACGCAATAGTACTTTAGATGAATACAAAATGAATCTAATTTCCAACCAAAATATGACCAAGTTACAACGACAGACCTGCTTCCTTTATGTCAACTGATGCCAGTAATCAGAGTGACATTACCCCGTTTCTTTATTTCGACGAGTTTCCCTTTGTTAAGTGGAAGTACAGTGTTTTGAGTTAAGTACTGTTCAAGACTCTAAATTAAATTACGTCATGATAAATAACCCAAATAACCAAAAATTATGAGTTGTGACAAAACTCCTAATGTATAAAAATACAGTCCAGTCGGTCGTCAGGATGCTCATTGAACAAGTAGGTCTCAGACTTCATAGTTTACGGTGGTAAATTATTCGTAAAAAGCTGATAGCCAAGTTTTCTAACGAGATACCATTGTGGTTGGCTGGATACATCTCTTAAAGATGTTTTAAAAGTGTTGAAAAAAACACTTAGTTTTAATCAGGTAACTTATGGTTCATATAATGTCTAAGTACTAATGAACAGTTATATGTGCGTGACGACGAAATCCATAAAAATATATTAGTAGATTAAGAATAAAACTGAAAGGTAGTGTATGAGAAACTTGCTTACCGGCTGTTAGAAGAAGCTGAGAATATCATCATAACGAGATAAATTAACAATGTACAAAGTAAAGCAGATAGAGTTCCCAAAGGGATTGAACGAGAAGGATTCTTTAATTCACCTAAAAAAGTCATATATAAAGAAGATTGTGGTAATATACTATGTGCCACATGCAAAAGAGTATTTCTTGTTTTATCTATTTCAATGCTTTTTGAAAGTCTCTAGCATTGAAGGATTCAAGCCTTCCTAGTACTTCATATCCTATTCCAATCCATTCAACTTCGGGTAAACGTGACCACTGAAACCAGGAAAAACAACACATCAGTTCCCTTTTAAAAATATAACGACTACTTCTTCAACGGACAATGACGCAAGCCCTAATTAACCTCTTCCATATTACACTGTAAAATTTAACTAGCCTTACCACAAAATTATTTTGCTTCAAAATCACGGCTTAATGAATGAGGTTTAACAAGAAAAACAGCTCAGCTCCCCGACAAGTCAAGGCACAATAAAGTGGCCAGAAATATCATAATCCTTGCAAAATAAATGTGACTCCACATTCTTAGCGTAAAACGTTTCATATGCTTTTACAAAATGGAGCTAAATGTCCGTAAGTCTTAATAAATGAAAACAAAATTAAGGCTTTTTAAGGTAAGTAGAACGATAATTGAGATTGTATAAGTGGCAAGACGTATTCGCTTAATTCATGATAATTATAACAATATGATGTATTTGTCACATATCAATGAGTAGAGAATTGAGTTTTTGACGTTTCACAACTTGGTGTAAGTCGTTTCTTCAAAACAATAGTGATGTTGTGGATTGCGGCTCAAGTCATGAAGTCCACTGCTAGTGACTTTCGAAGAGCATTGTTCGCAATCTAAGTTACATTTCATTCATTGCTAAAATTATTTGAAATTATCAGGTCGAAATTAGGTAGTGATATTGACTAAATGCAATCAAACGTGTTCAACAAGGATCGGTTAACCAAATTATTCTTTCACCACATTTTCCATCTTCATCCTTTATCCGCTTACAACTGTAAGAGGACTTTTACTATTAATCTTTATGGGAGAAATATATTTTCAAAGTATTCACTATTTCTATTTATTGGGACGGCTTTCGAGGGGCATGATGGAGCTTCTAGAGGCCTTAGAGGAGCCAGAGAGTTTCCACTTAATCACAACCTGATAGGGCTTTCTAGAATATTAACATGGCATACTACGATCGGACGGTAGTATAACTTGCCTCCTTGCGGGTTGGTTGAATTATAATGATGTTATAGCCAACGCTAGTAACCATAAATACATATGTTTTCCTGCACATTTTTGAATCGTACCCAATAATCACTCATCCTGCTTCTTCTATCTTCTGATTTGCCACTGTGAGGTTCTACACGTTTGATTGCCGTCAATAATATATCGTGTTCTGCGTTAATCAAGTAAAAGACTCAACAATATTATTATTGGTTGTTCAACAAATCTACTCTACAAATGACACCAACTAATGAATACCCTGCACAGGCCGAACCCCATCTTAGCAACTTAACGATTAAATGAAACAATAATGATAGTCTGTGCTTACACTTTATATGATACCACATATTCCAAAAATACAAGAGAGTATGCCTCAGTTGTGTTCTGGGATTCATACGTTAAAGCGCATAACTCGCTACAGCAAGCAACTTGCCAAATCTGATTACCGACTTATTTCGATGAGCCAGCTCACTCTATGATTCATAAAGATGTGCGATATGATTTTATCTGAGCTTACCCATGACAAATGCACTCGAATATCATATCTCTACTCATAAAACATTTTATGCATTCCGTTTTATTATAGAGGTGCAACAATCGTCCGTAAATCTCACACTTCAAAGTTTGCAATTTTATTCACGATTTGGAGTAATTTTTAATTATAGTTACGTATTTCAAGACAAATCAAGTACTTTTGACTTTGACACTTTTGGGTGTAACTTGTAGTTTTTGATTTTAGGCATAAAATTGACAATCTTATATATAAATATATACTTATGCATAGTTTGAGCATATGCTATTGAAAAATAATTTTTGGAATAAATGAAGATTTAATCAAAGTATATTGAGCGATCAAACCTTGAATATGAATAGACTGATGAAATGAGAAAGTAATATCAACATACCAGACACATTTGCACCGTTCATTATCCCAGTTACACCAGAAAATAATACGGAGAAAACAATGACGAAAGACGTCAATGAACCAGTGGTATAATCAATTGAATACATAGCTAAAAGAGTACCAAAATCCAGAAATACAATGGTTAATTTATATAATACACATATATAATTCTTCTAGTTTCAGTCATCATTTAGTTAGAACTATCAATCTCAACCTTTGCATTGACACCTACATAACTAAGTTTGTTTGTTCTTGTGGATCTGTCCCCGAGAGAAAGACTTTTCGACCTTGAGTATGGAGGTAATATTGTCTTACTGTGAGATGATACCCAAGCCATGCAATCCACACTTAGTTGGCAACCAGTGACCGTAGGTATTCCATGTGCTTTGCACTCCCCATATGAAAAGTACTGTTACAAGACTAGCAGGACTCTGAACCTCCAATCCCTGTTGGTAGTGAGAATTTAGAAGTAGTCAAGAAGTTCGTGTACCTGGGTAGCTGCATAAGTTTTGATGGTGGCGTAAGTGATAAGATGAATTCACGTATAGGATATTAGACGACTCTCTGTGTTTACTCGTTGTTTTCTCCGAAGGATTGCTGACATCCAGTGACATCATGTCAATAATGCAGAGGTTCAGGAACGTGTGTTCGAGTACAGAGACAATAATTCAAACGGTGTCACCATTTTGAAACACTGAGTCCGGTGGCTTGGACATATCCTACGAATTCCACACCGTGCATTATTCGCCGATACTGCGACTGGTTGGAAAAAGTGGAGAGCTGGTTAATGTATGACATGCTATCGTCGTGGGTAAGAAAGCAGTACAGGACTGGTTTCTGTTGGTCCTTTATGACTCCTCGTTGGGGTCCTAAAGACGGTGCAACACAGTAGCTTGAGCCGTTATCAGATATGGCTTATAATAGAAGCAAATGGTGATTCTGCTGTAACTTTCTTTTACCTTTTTCATTAACGCGAGAGTAACTTCTTTAACTGAAGGAATTTCTTCCAGTTGTATTCCTCTTGACTGAACGGTTTCTCACACTATAATTATGATTATTTTGCTCTCAGACACTGATTTTTATTCACTTTTGTTCTTCTATTTTTATCATGCTTTCCTTTCGCGTTCTCTTCACGACTGCTTTCACTGAATCCTAGCTTTGACCTCAATTAATATTCAAATTATCAGTTTCGAGGACTTTACTGGTTAAATGACTATTTGTATAGAAAAGGATAATGATTGAACGACAAATCAGAAGCATAAAGCAGTGTTTCGTTTGTACTACATAAACTTGGATTAATTTTGATTTGGTTACTTATTCTCTGAAGCAGTGGTTTACACTAAGTCACGAAACGTCAGAAAATTTGATTTTTCCACTCATTGGGATATTACAAATATATTATTTATTTACAGCGCACATAAGTTTCGTCGTATTCTAGTAAGTTTAATACATATGATCTTCCATGTAAACTTAACTTGAGATAGTCTGATGGGACTAAATCAGAGTTTGATATAAAGTCTAGGAATCGATTTAAGTAGTTCGAATGTATTAACATAACACCATCTAAAGATTTTAAGAAGGCATCACGATCGATAAAATGAACAGAGAGGAGCATTATCGATCAAAGAGAATTGAAATAAAGTTCAATCAATTAGATTATACGGAATGATTTAAAATCAAATAAGGCTTCAAATAGATCAAAATTTTTTGGAGTACTACAACAACTATGTTCCATGAAAGATACATTGTGCCGATTTCTCCTAAAAATTATAAATCTATATTTTTGTTTTAACGCAAACTCGAAATGATATCGACTAATTTTTACATACTAAAGTCGTGTACACTCTGAGTAATCTAAAAACTAAGATAACATAGGACATCAATAACTGATTTTAAAATCAAAGAATAAGAAAGAGTAGAAAAATTGTAACACCGTCGCAAAACATAGCCATATAAAATCTTCAATTATCGATCTATGTTAATTTCAAGGATACCAAGCACACAGATCATACACTAAACATTTATTTTCTTTGAATCAACGATGTAAAAAGAACGTCCGCAGTGTTAGAAGGACCAATTTCTAACAAATTAACAACATACATATAAACTTAGCTAATAGTGTGAAAATGGTTCAAACAAACTAGCCATTTTTCTGTTCATCAGGGACATAGTGATAGAATCGTCTCATAAGAAAATTAAATATATAGGATATGTGCTTCGTAGAATACAGATGTACGAGTAATCATGTTTTCATTTATTTACCACGTTTCAGTTGTTGTCTTAGAATGCAAACTGTTTTCATATTCTTATTTCCATACAGCCGATTTGAAAGGTGTCAATCGAAAGGTAATAGATAAGAAAACGTAATGCAAAAGAAGAATTTATTTTATATCATTGATTTCTTATCAGCTGAAGACTGTATCTAATCGATAAGATACCAATGAAACAAAGTCAATTTATTTTATCTTGTCATTTTGTGAATTAAATTTTTATTGACCTACAAAACCCATAAAATAGTAGTCTGTGACTTCAGAAATTACTATCAAGGCTTTTTAAACTTTATTTCTGCTCCACCTAGCAAATTATTTTCGGTAAGACAGATGTTTAGTATGTGTTAGGCGGACTAAAGCATATATATATGGGACAGTGGTTTACCGATTAAAGCCCTGAGCTTCTAATCACTGTCAGAGATAATGATATGAAGAAGATGCTTCAATTGACTAAAAATTTTCAACTTATATTTAAATTCATTTATTTACCGATACGCACAGTTAAAAACCGATCATCTCTTAAAACCAAAGGCTATATTAATCAAGATATTTTGAGAAAATTAACTCTGAACTATATAAAATTATAGTAAATAAACTTGAAAAGAACCTTACACGTGGCACGATTACCAGAATTAACCTCTAGATTACTAGCTTAGTACATAATATCAAATGAGTTGAATCCAATTTTGATAAGGTTGAGATTTTCTCCCTGTTTCGTTACAAATATATGGGTAGAGTCATTAGAAAGTAATGTCTATGTGAAATACGATATGTAACTAATCAATATACATTACAAAATAAACACTGCTTCGGAAAAAAAATTGATTAATAATAAGGAATTATACAAAATTCGAGTGATAATTAGTAATATAACCAACAACGAATAAAGGGATATTCAAACGTTTCTTCAATACCGGAATAAAATGAACTTACGATAAATATTTTCTTTGAATGTATTCCCATTTAAGCCAGTAAACTCGGCAAATATAGTTATATTATTTGATGTTGATGAATTATAAATAAGCGAATTAGATCTTGGCAAAGGTATTAATTTTGGTTGTAGAAAGAAACTAGCAAATACGCAGATAATAACAATAACCACAACCTGTAACAAGAATTTTTTTCAAATAAATACAAAATGTTGAGTATAGTATATGCTATTGAATATGATCAAGTTATTTTTACGAAAGGAAATATATGAGAAGTATATATGGCTTCTAGTTATTCATCTAATTCATGCAAAATCTAGTACAAATGAGTACTAAAAACAGAATGTGTTAAATAAAATAAAATTTGTGTAAACCAGGATACTGTTGAGACGTCCAAACCGAAGCAGGAATTTTTTTGAGGGGACCGCTAACTCAAACTCTAATCTGAATGCCTCATCTATAGGGGAATAGATCAACATTGAGAAATGCAACCCCATGGTAGCCGGTGACTAAAGATATCTTCATAAGCTATAGGATCCTGGAACCTATGTCCACTTTTGGTTTGGAATCAGTGTTCCAACTCCTCCATGAGAATCCTCTATATATATCAACCCTGTTTAAGGCCCCTACTACGTGAAGGCAATGAGCAGGAATTCCTAAACAGAAGCTTTAAACGCAAGACCAGACGAGAACATCACGGGAGGGAGAGCGCAACCTCTCTACACTTGGTCATAACCAGGGCATTTGAGCCACATATTGTATGACGAGCATGAAGTAACTACCCTAATTTGTGATGTTCAAGAATGTTATTCGATTTATTAATAATAAAATTATAAACAACTGAATTGTGTAGTTCACATTATCAAATAAATAGGATATTCTCTCAACGATCATCACCTATCAGGGAAAAGAAATGGTGATCAACAAAGCCATCTTTTCACGTATGATCTTATCACGTTTTCAATGTACTTCCGTTGCCAGAACAACATAACTTAATTAGGCTTTAAAATAAATACGATGATGATTAATCAATTTATCATATAATAGAACGCAAAATAAGGTCGACATTTCAAGATTTATTTGAGTTACTATTATTATCCAAATCAGTCTTATGTAAAATTTTACATATGATGAACTAAAATGATTAGTTAATTTACGAGTATGTCTCATAATAAATACTACTCATTTAAAAAGGAGTATTAACACAATGATTCAGACACCAAACCACACATCAAATCTTTCTTATCACACAATGACTTAGCAACGTTTGCGAAGTAACTGAATATATCACATAGTGAAGAGGATCATATAAACTAAATAATTCTAAGTAGCGTGCTTAAAGGAAATAAGCATTTTAAAAACTCGGTTTACCAGATATAAACAGATGGAAATCTATATAGCGAATAAAGACTATTCACCAGCCTTGCAACACTTTTATGGAGGAACAAAATATGGAAGTATACAGGCAACGTCGTTACGGAGTAAGGAACTCGACAAAGGAAAAGAAATGTATTTGCAATATAAAACAATAAAAGCATTTACAATAAACGATCATAATATAACTAAACTATGGTTTGGTGTCAGACAACTGATGAACAAATTAAATTCCAACGATTTTGTTGATCAATGAAAACTAAACCTTGAGTAATCTGTAGTTTACAGTCGGAAAAATTACGTAACAATAAGAATGGCAACAACAAATATAAAATCAATCTAATAAATAAATCGATACATAAATTTAAGCGAAAATGGATACCAATGACGAAAACAATGATAAAAAGTCACAGTGTACCACCCTTAATACATTTTCAGTAAGATAAAAACATAATTTTCTAACTTTGGTAAACATAAGCTGATTTGCATAATACTCCAAAGTTGAATATATTTTTCATGACTCACCTTAACATCTAAAAAACAGATTGTTTGATGGTTTCTAGTTTCTAAATCCTACGACTACGCGTCAGCATGACATCTATTGAAAAAACATTAAGTATTCCCAGCTTAAAGATATTGCATTAAGTATACCGTAGAGTAGTAACCTCGACTGCTAACAGACAACGGTTGGTACGGGGTAAAAGTAGTTGTGTGACTCAGTGCAGAAACTAGTTATTTTTCCAGTGCTAAAAACCTGTAAAAATACTCAAAAAAAACCCACAAACATATAGACTTTCCGAAATAGTACAATAAGACTGAGATGCAGTGGTAGACAACTTTGACCATCACAACTAAACAACAACAGTTGGTCGGGTAAATGAATACGAAGCCATACCAATATTATAAAAAAAACATAAAGAATAACTTGAAATCTAAGTGTTCTGCTAGTTTAATGGGCGATAGATAATTTACACTTAGAACTACCAATACAAATTACTTTATCATTAAAATAATAAAAATACTCATAATATAATAATAATATATGTATTCGCAAAAATGTCCTTTGAAATCATCTACATTTAACAGGTCTGAAAAACACTATTAACTAACTATTTATTATTCACAACACTATGGAAGAGAGAGGGAGGATGAAATAACTGAAATAGTACATTACAAGTACAAAAATATAAACAGTACACCAAACAATAACGAAATATGCACTATTTGGTAACAATTTACTTATTACTACCAGTACTAAAAACTAATTTCAATAAAATACAGGTACTCATGAAATAATACAAAGTTCGTATTACAACCTTTCTATCCTCAAAAAAAATCTTTATTGATATTATACGTTTAATAGAAGAATACGCACCTTATCATAAGAAATACCACACAAATATGACTTAATTAATCACCGCATTATACTCTACAGTTATCTTTACAAGGAATTTAGAAATATTTACAGTGAACTGAACCTATATTATATGAAGTTGATCATTAATTGTTCAAATCATAGAACTATGAATTTAAACATCAAAGGTTTGTGCATATATGCAGAATTACAAACTCGGACATATCAAGTGTGTTTAATGGATTACTTAATCAGGATGTAAGTAGCTGTTACGTTACATTCATTCCGACCAAATTTAGCTGCTGATATTTGTAATATAGTTGAGCAAATTTGATCCTCTAAGTGGTTTCATGATACAGTGGTATTGATTACAATGGTAGTGAGAAATGAGAAATTGTGGTACATATTCACAAATGAGGAAAATGTTACAGCGACATAAAACGTAGTAAAATAATTCAAGAGCCTAAGAAAAATGTGAAAGGATGAAATTATTTCACTGTGGTCAATATCAAATTATCTCGCTTGCAATCTTTATAACCATAATCATGGGAAATTGATTCATGGGAAACTCATTGTAATATTTATAAAGGGTTGAGTTTGTAAGGCGTAAACATGATTCCTTTGAAATCACATCTCTTTGGCAACTTCTCATGGTTGATAATGTTCATTTTTATACGACTGTTTGCGTTAAGTGACAACTGTATGCAAATAATGCTGAGATTTAACACTGTGAGTGTGGGAATAGTCGATATCATTATTTATTCGATAAGTTCACTTTGAAGACATTGGCTTAGGTACATTATGATTATGAAATATCGATATCTTTCATTTCGACAGCTGTTTGCAAATGTTACGAACAGTCGAAAGAACTTTAGCGTGTGGGAGACTATCTCACTTGCGTTACATATGTCGCTCATAGAATTGCCTAGAAAAAAATCGACATTTGAAACTCACACCTTAAAAGACAACAATCTGAAAGTAACCTAGAATCATAGAATTAGCATACAAAGGTATTTTAATCTCATAGAAAATAATAACAAATATAACTAGATACATCATGATCAAATTGCACTTAAAGCTTTATCTTTTATCTTTAGGCTGGTTGTTTTCTTTCTAAAACAAACAGTCGACACGATTGATAAGAGGAAATATATAAATATTATTACCATTACATTTTGTGATTTATGAAAAGAACAACTGAGTGACATTAATCCATATTTAGTTTCTTTTCATCAATAGTCATTGTCATTATAATAAGCATCGAAAACAATTTTGCAATATTGACATTTCCTAGAAGTATAAACTCCACAGTACTCAAAACATAAACAAACGAGGAACACAGTAACACTGAGAAATTTGTAAGGTTTACAGAACTATATTATGTTTAGACTTGAATCAATTAGATTAACCCGAAGTACAGGATAAATCGTCACAAATGAAAGTGAATATATCATAAAAATGAATAGAAAGTTCAGTGAATAACCTTATAAAACATTTAATCATATATACAATAAAATAAAGACACTTGGAGAGAAAATTACTAAAATTGAAAGCAATGCCAATAAATACCTAACTATATAAAAGTTTAGGAAGAACTGATAAGAAAATATCAAACTGTAATCGACCATCAAATAGTGATTTGCATCAATATTTGTTTGCAGATATGTATCCATAAGGTTTATTGCTTGAAGATATAAATATTCTTGGCTAAATTTCACGTAAATGGATAATCAACATCACCTATCACCTGTCAGACCATGAAAAAAATAACGTTACATTGGTGTGAAAGTATTTGAGGGTGTTATTTGTCTGAGTTTCGTTCATGGAAAAAAAATGTATATGTACAGTAACAATTTCAAGGATAAAGGCGTGAGCATTATGAGGAAGCTTTAAACCAGGATGATATATTTATCTAGTCCCTCCTGAATTTTTTAATGCTTACTTAGCTGGTATCAGATTGCAATGAAGAATATCTTTAAAACGAAGACTGTTGTGTAATTAGAAATGCAAAAGCTATGTATGATACTGTTAGTTTAACCCGATTTGTATACATTTTCAATATATTACCTGCACTTCGCTGCACCATTCCATCGAAAACACAAATAAGTAACTTCATTAATAGTTATATGGGGATGATTGTTCTAGGCACTAGATGTATCTAGGATTCTATACAAATTATTACAAATTATTTCGAGCACGATGTCAGTTTAACTAAACTTACTGCAAGAATGAAGTACAGAGCACGAGCAAACATTTGACTACCAATTAATAAGATAGACGTACAAAGTGCAAGAATAACTATGGCATACAGGTAACTCCACCAGTGATTTTCACCAGGTAGTACCCCATCGAATAAAATACCTTAGAAAAAGAATAAATACAAACACAAATATGAAACTGGTACAAACCAAAATGTTAAGTATCATCAATATTTCTGACCCAGAATTACGGCACATATAATACAATTTCTACAGCTGAAGTTCAAATGGTATTTTAAAACTAGCCTACCATTATTTTTTTTCAGTGACTCAACGAACAGTTCCAGTTGCGCATCATGAAGGCTGATTATCAGGAGTAACAAGAGATTAGTACAATGGATGACTTTTGTTTCGCCGCTATCACAGTAAAAAGTAACGTGATTATGTCAGAATATATCACCGATACGAAAATATACCGAAAACAAGCACTTTTTGTGACTAACGAAATAACCTAGTATAAAGAAACTTTATACGAAAAAAATTTAGAGCCTCCAACAACAAAACTATGGGTCATAAATTAACCTTCATCTGTAAGCATAATTTTAAGGAATCTTTCATCTTCAAAAGAGCACTACTTAATGAACCATCAGGAAGAAAATAACATTATAGTAAATAGTAGCTTTACGACTAATTAGGAATATACCTCAGTGAGTCTAGTTTCTGACAACGGACTTCGACTAGTGGTCAAAATAGCCGACTTCCAACAACCTGAGTGTAAATCTTACACTGTCTGCAAAGTTATAACGAGTGAGTAAAATCCTAAATGTTCAAATAATAGGCGTGATCAACCAAAGAATATATATCTATGAAGGTGGTTACTGAGCTGTAGTATTTTATTGTAAGTCCTAGAACAATATCATAGAAAAACTCATCAGCGAAAGGTAAATACAACGGACAAGGTTTATATTTCGATTGCGAAGATTATTCAGGTATAATTTCTACGTTTAAATACAGTCTCGTAGTTATATTTACAAAAACTAACTAACCTCCAGGACCGAAATTTATGAGCACAGCTTCCACTAATCCCGCTATATACAAAGCAGCACTACAAACTTGTGCGAGGAAAAATATCGATCCAATAGCTCCACCGAATTCAGGGCCTAAAGTCCTACTGAGCATGACTAATTGAGTTTTTCATCAAGGAAATCAGTTACAGTTAATGTGTGAAAACAATTTCAGAAAACACAAAAACGTATTGATATATACCGTAATAACTATTTCACTTTGAATAAAAGCTTGAGTGAACTGAACGAATACAACTCTACACGATACTCAGTTTCGTCATAGAGTATTATATAATGGCTGTAAATCGGTTGATAAGAACCAAAACCTTAGTCAGTTAGTACATTTGAGACATGTTTGGCCATAGCCTCCTCCAAAGCAACGTTGGCTGGAGTAGAAACAGTGTAGAAAGCTACACGTGTCTAAACAAATAAACCCTAACAGTCAGTGAAGTCATTATTAGATAGAGGCGTTCATGGAGGGGCAAGCTTTCTAGTTGCCCAAGTAGTAGTCGGAATCAATTGTTCAGTCCCAATGTAATATCTTTATTTATTCCTTACCTTTGTTTAGATTGAGATTTATAATATTATCCCATGAACTGTCAAAAACCGTTCAGCACTACTAGGTTTCCAATAATAGTTTAACTAAGATCAGTTCATAATCTATACTATGAAAATTACATTGAGATTTTGACTTATTCGCTCTTCCTCTACCTGTTATTGATAAAGTATGGTAACGCAGGCCGCTACACATTGTTTGTGGTTAGCTATACAATATGCGAAAATTTTTAAACTGGTAAACATATGGTATGTATGCATTATTGTCGGGAAACCTCATGATTCACATAGTCAACGACTAAAAGAAATACTGTTAATGTGATCATTCTGAATCATTACAACTAGAGTATATGATCGAGAACATAGACTAGATTTTTACAACAAACTATGACAATATTATTCCACTTTCAGGTATGATATTGCTATAACGAAGCAGTTACCCTTGACTTAATTTCAAAACATCAGATTTATTATCAGCATTATATATCATAACTAGTGAAACTTTTGAATGGTTTCATATTCAATTCAATTACTTAATTGCTTCCTTTATGTGTAGGCACTATCAGATCCATAATGAATAATTTTAAAAATCTTTACCAAATGAAATTTGATTAAAGTGTCTCCACTCTAATCCACTGGTTAACAACTAGTACTTCCTACGAGGACAGTTCACCTTGCTTGACAAACTCGTTTAGAAAAACCACTTCATCCAGAAGTAATCAGGAAAATTAATAAGTCAGTTAAACTATTTTTCCTACAAGCAGTATCACCACAAATTTGAAATAAATATGAAATACTTCTTTAACAATTCAGTTTAGCTGAAGCCACCTTCGACACACGTGTACATGTATACACAATGGTGAAAAAATATGTGATTAGTACTTTTATATACGAATGACAAAATCTAGTCAGATTTCCTACAATTAAAAACAATCTGAAATGCCAAGTTAAATGAAAAATTGAGCATGAAAAGCACTGAACGACTCATTTTCTTACGAATACTTCTAATTACAATAGAAAAGGATACAATATACACCTCCTCCTTCAACTGCCCCATTTGTACTAATTGCGCATATAGAAAATACAGTCAGCAACAGAATGAAATAGGATAGAAATAGTTGTAATATACTTTCCAGCAAACCAGCATGAGCAATAATAAACCCTGCGCGAGGAGCAATTTTTATAGAAAAACACTGAACGTACCTAAACGTAGAAATATCACACTACTGAACTGGGATAACGTTACAGAGCAAAACACGCCACCAAATGTGTTCAACGTACGACGTGAAATGACAACATTGTCATCAAGCGATTTACTAATGTCAGCCATCGGGTTTTATGGATTAGTTTTTAGGCGATACCATCACGGACAGACGAATATCCCAAAGTACCATATGATGAGAATATTGATCTACGTGAAAGTAAGGAAATTAAACGGACATAAATAGTCATTAGTAATAACAATAACAGTCTTTGTAGCCCAAATAATGTGACTAACCTTTTTTCCATCTATGGGCTTACTGTGGTGTTTCCCCATGTTAGAATACGGATGAATCACCAAGGTCTTTAGTTTCTAAACATCGAGTTCAAAATCTGAAACTTGACTTACTTATCAAGGTTTTGACAGTCATACATCAGTTAACTTTCGAAATCCAGATGAACACAACACACTACCATATTAACAGTCAAAGAATCCCATATTCGTATTTTATTTCACCTTCGGCTATATGTCTATCTATGACAACCAAGGACGACTAACAAGTTCACTGTTGCCCTACGTCTACGAACATTCTCACTAACTTTTATTAAATTCACGTTACAGGACGAACGAGGTTATAAGTGAACTTGTCAATCGTCCTTGGTTGTCACAGTCCGATATACAACCGAAGATGGGATAAAATACGAACGATTTTCATGAAAAAAAATAAATTGCTTTCGTTTAATCAACTTGTCGACGAAAGCACGATCAACGGTAATCGACTTTAACAGTGATTTATGTTGCATTAATAGCAGTCAACACTGCTAATTATGATGAAAATCTACCAACTGTGATAGTATCCGGTAGTCACAACAATGAAAGGTCTCTGAATGATAATGGTATGTGAAAGAAGTAAAATCATTAATCCATTTCTTGTAGGATGTAATCACATTTATTTGCGTTTATAGTTCATAAAGCGGGAAGAACAGATAAATATGGCCTTGATGAATTTGATGACAAATAGCTGTCAGACAAGCAGGAATGTTGATCGCATCCTAAATGCTTTTCGAGATCTTGTACCAGATTTACCAAGCAGAACTATAAGTGTTCTACGAACGTGCACAAGTGTTCAACTTAAGTTCATAAGTGGTGGTGTTTACTACCATCTCTGATTAGAAACTTTGGTTGAGTACTTGTGATTTTGAAACACTGGACTTGCATATTAATGTAGACAGACATTTGATTTCAAGGATCTCTAGTCAACGACGCATCGTTGCCCCTAGGTTTAGAGACGTGTTCATGACAGGCATTTATTGAGGGAATGCTAAGCCAATCGAATTTAACGAAATAGTCACAAGAACATATGGGCTGACTGTAAATGAATTGCCGTTAACTGTGTTAATAATGCAGTAATTGTTCCATTGCTGCATATGTTCAAGTGAATATAATTTGTAAAACTTTTCTGATGGTATTACTCTAAACCATTTCCTTACCTTCTACATACTGTTTAGCTGAGTAATAAGCAGTTCGTACCTATCGACGCACCAAGCAAGAGACAGGTTCTAATTGCAGATAAGCAGTGAACTGAGAACTTTGTCTCTATCCTACGAACATTGTGTATATGCACCAGTAGAACAGTTCCCAACCAGGTGACAATTAATCCTAGAGTCCAAAGGTCATCAACCGCTGTAGTGAGTTACAAATAGAGGGACGATCATTTCCTATAGATAGTTTCGAGACTGCAAAGGATTTGTTGGTTTTGTTCAACAACTTGACTGGTTACTGTGTCGCTAATTTTACGGGAGGAAACATCTTGCCACTAAACGAAGAGAAGCCAAAGAGGTCGATAAAGTAATCTTATTATTATTTTGTAGAGGTGTATTGAAACGGAAGGAAAGGTTTCTGTACAATTCCGTTGATATGGATATGAATGAGATGCAGGCTGGAAACAGCCACGTTCAATATCATAAATTTGGATTGCTAGATACTTTTTCTCACCAGTTGCCAAGTCGGTGTGTTTTCTTTAAAAAAGTTAATAAACAATTTCGACACAGTTGGATGCGTCACCTTCAACGTACGTGTAGAGGCGTGTGGGCAGTGCATTAGCGGCCGAGCAAGTCACGTGTCCGACTGAGTTAAGTGCTCAAGATTTGGTACACCGTGTGATGTGCTGCAGAACACATCGTCTGCTGTTTCAGACTTGAGTGCCAACACTAAGTAGCTAATGTCGAGGTCTGGTGGGCGTGAACATCCGCGGTAACTTGGTTTCGGACTATCAAGTTCGCAGCTCCCTTTTTCATCTACAGAGGGACTAGGAACGTTGCACGCATGTCTTTAGCAAAAAGATATAAGGAACAAATTTGTAAGTCAATAAAATTCATTGAACTATTTGTTCATATTGCAGATGGCCATGTTGAAGCGGTTAAAGAAACTTCATCTACAATAAAATACATAAAGATCGTTGCTCGGGTATCTGTTACTAATATCCCTGTGTAATATGGTGTTTCTTCTAGTTAATAAATGTCTTTAACCATGTATCATTTTTAAACGTAGTCGACTGCAGTAGTCGTGTAATTTGTTATGGAAATAAAGCCGAACATGGAAGACATATGGGGTAAGGCAAAAGATGGACAACAAAGCGTGTGACCAACGGTACAGTAGAAAATTAGGCAACAAGTTAGACGAAAAGCAGAAAATTTGGCGACTTTTGAGACATAGAGAGAAAAAGGAGAAAAATTCCGCATCATTCCCCATGACAGAAAAAAACATTCTGGAGCGGTTCCACAGTGAATCCCAATTTACCATAGAAATGTACCCTGTACTTCCCACTTTCACGCCTTTATTGCCTCTTTAATTGATTGCTTTTGAATACCCGTCAGGGTGTTTATTAACATAATACGCAATCGCGCATTAAGATCACAAAAATATAAAGTTCTACACTACTAGTACAAAATCCATAACCCAAAAAATGAATCACACACACCTAGACAGAGCCATATGTGGCAAGCAACATTTGTGAGATACGACCATTTAACAACATACCGCTGAAATCCAAGTAACCGAAAGCCTTAAGTGGTAATAGTAACGTTCTCAAGGACATGGCCTAAGCAGGGCAAGTAACTATGAATGTGCAAAACAAACTTTTAGTAGCATCATATTTTGTATTGTATATGAATGTTATTAATTACATATCTTCATGCAGTGCAAACGGTTGAGCATGGTTTGTCGCATTTTTACTAAGTTGTTCATTTGCTCCATTCAGTTTCCCTACGGAAGTACGAAGTACACTTCCTGAAAACAACGAGCGTTGAATTTTTGTAATTCCGAATTTCATACCTTTTATTTACTAGTGTTTACTCAAGGAAGTATTCATGGTAAATGATTATGCGCTCCTAGGTCAAGGCTCTCGGTCAAGCATCACCACCAGATCACTATCGAGTGCACCACTCATAACAACCGACCATCTCAGATTATTTATTTCTGGACACATCGACCGATTCCCAAATATATCTCTGAACTCCTTCACTCTAAGCTTCTAGTTTGACTAAAATTGAAACCTTCGACTAGAAAGGCGTTACGGACGATAATGCTGTCAAGCTCTGGGTATATGCCGTGTGGTGCGCCTCAAAAATGGTCTGGCATCCAAAACGATCAGATGTAAGTTTATTCCTTGTCCCAACATTGTGCGTATATATTTTTTCGTCTGTTATGTCTGACATGTTTACCTCAACGTAGGTATTACGCAAGCCCACCCACTTGATATTTGTTGTTGTAGATGCTTTTATGCCAATCATTGGTCTAGACCTACGACAACATCATAATCCACTCATCGACACATGCAAATGGGCGTTGGTAGATGAAAATACTAAATTGTCAATTTGTGGAACTCTATTTTCCTGTAGTCTCCAGTCACAGCTAAGCATAAAATCGATCCATACTATCAACGGATACTCGACAAGTACCCTGAGCTGTACCAAACTCTACTAAACAACCGTGTGTAACCATAAATAACACACATCACATCACGACTACAGGATCACCTGTATTCCTGAAAGCGCGCCGACTAGCTCCCGAAAGGCGGAAGTTGGCTGAAAACTAATTCGGTCACATGATAGCCTTAGGGATCACAGAGCCATTAAACAGCACATGGTCATCTCCCGTATACATGGTCCCAAAAAAGGACACCAAGGATTGGCTTCTAACTGGCGACTATCGGCGAATGAATGCGAAATCCATTCCCGATAGTTGCCTGTTGCCTCACATTCACGATTTGAAAGACACAACTATTTTTTCTGAAATCCATGTTGTTAAAGTATACGCCCAAAAACCTATAGTTGCCGTCGACATTCCTAAGACGGCTACCATCACTTCCTTCGGATGCTATGAAATTTTGCACATGCGTTCAGACTTAATTAAAGCTGAACAAACTTTACAGAGACTCATTGACGACGTTTCTTGAAGTTTAAACTTCGTGCATGCGTATGTGGATGACTGCTTGATGGCATGTACGGTCAGAGAATCCCACCTCCAGCATCCGGATCCTCTCTTCGAACTATTGCAAAGACACGGCATTACTGTAGACATACAGAAATGTCAAATTGGCACCGACTTTCCACATTTCATCAAACACACTATTGATGCTCAAGGCATCTGACACCTAAAAAACAAAGTAGTTGCCATTCTGAATTACTCGGAGCCAACCATAATCAAGCAACTACACACGTTCAGTGGCCTGGCAAGTTTTTGTCGACGGTTCATGCCGAATCACGCGTCCCTTATGAAACCTTTAACCGGCCAACTTCGTAAAAATGCGAAATTCATCAATTCGAGCGATATCGTAAAAAAGCATTCTACACAATTAAGGAACTTGTCTCTAAAGTAACCTTGCTTTCACACCAGTATTTCGACACACAGATTAGTATCGTAGTAGACTCATCCGACTAGGCAATCAAAATTATCTTACAACAACGGGTTAACCACACCTGTCAAACATTGAGTTCTTTTCAAAACGGTTGCTAGACACCGAATCGATGTGTAGAACTTTCGGTAGGGGACTCATAGCCATGTAGTGTACTGTACGGCAGCTTCAACATTCTGTTGAAGGCCGTGAATTCACTCTTTACACCGATCAC